CGCCGCTGCCGCCGCCGCCGGTGCGACTCGCGTTTCTACATCGCGAGAGCCGCGTCATCCAGAAAGACGAGCCGCCGCAGTGAGGGACCGTCGGTTGCGCGACTGACCGTGTCCACGTCAAACATGCTCGCCGGGCGCGCGAGCGATTAGACGACGACGACTCTTCTCGTATCGCGAGCGCGATAGAAACGTAATTTCCGCGTCGCTCCGATGTGAGCGGATCATGATGATCGTGCGAAAGGTACAGAAAAAAAGATCGGCAAACATTTGTCGCACCCGTGTATGAGAGAATACGCCGGTGTCGGTTCTCGCAGAGAATTCGCCAGTGAAATCGGATCTGCTCTCTCGGACGGTTTCAAATGTGTCAAGTGATCTCAAATCAAGAAACGCGTTTTATATTGCGACGTTTGTATTATACCGTATCGGAATAGAATCACGTTAATTGAATGACATCCGCGAAGTGTCAATCAAGTTTTTTACAACGCAACACGCGTTGGGAGCAACAATAGTGAAAAAGGTTTCTCGACGATCGAGAAATAATTGCGTTAAACAAATTCTTCAGAGATCTGTTTTGTTGTTCGCGATAATTTATTTTGTGACGTGCAAAAGTTTCTTTGTTGATATATATCTTGTTCAAGCTGCAAAATGACTAAGTCGTCGAAAATGCAAGTTAGCATATGCCAACACTTGACACGTTTGACACTTCCCAAGAGTTCAGTCTTATCTCTTTTCTATAAATCTATTTCTTAAATAACACACACACATACACAATGGAAAAAACATTTATATTGAAAAAACAATTATATATATATATATATATATTGAAAAAAACTCTTGTACGTATTTTTAAAAGTGTCGTATTGATCTGTAATCGCGAAGGAGTGTTCTTTGCTCGAACACGTCCGTATCCTTTCGCAACGGTCTGGGCACATCTGGCAATCTTACTTTTTATTATCCGTTCGGGGAAGAGATGGCGTAAATTCAAACAAAGATATAAAAGTTTCGAAAGATTCGGTAGTCACCGCGTTATCACCGCGAGCATCGGTTCTATTGCTGACATTCGCACATTTGGACTCGCTACTTGGTTTTGCTGGCAGTGACATTTAGGATTTGCGAAGACTAACACACACACACACACACACACATATGCGAAATAAAATAAATACACACAATGGCTTGTTTTTTTTCTTAAAAATTTATACAGAAACGCGCGTGTTCACGAAACTTCGCTCGATTTGACGTTCGACTTGAACATTCGCTGATTGCAGTAGTCTTATCGGCTTCTTACCGTCGCGACACGACTGATTAAAGCTGATTCAGCAAGGTTGAGACGCCGTTCGGTTCACATACGTGCGTTATCAATGTGCGTTTTATTAGCGATTGATCGTTGCGTTATTGCGCGAAGTGCAAAAATACACACTCACGTGTTGTTGTCACACGCTGCATTGCCAACTGCACTCTTTCCCGGGATTAGCTCGCGTCTTTAAACTCGCGTGTACCGGCGCGTCTCTAATTGTAGATTCTTATTTTAACGCGCGTTTAAACGCGCGTGACCCAGAATTGCTGCTGGCCGGCCGATGTATGTACATCTTCATGGAGTTTCCTTCATTCGGCGGAATATTGTGTAAAACCGAAACTTTTTTTTTTTTTTTTTATGTTCCTCCGATATCTAGTTCACGCTTTAATCTCCGGTCGCGTCAACGACTTCAAGGTTGTTGACGTTTTCGAAATTTAAAATAATCGTCACTTCTCTCTCGTTTGATCTGCTCTGTTTACCGGCACGGTCGATGCTTTTAGTTTAGACTGTCGTGTGTGTGTGTGTATATGTAACATATACACAGGAAGTTACACACTGCGGTTCAACAACGATGACATTGTGACAAAATGAGTCGTAACGCCAAAATTATATCTACTGTGATATCTAACAACAGTTGAACGACTTCTTTGTCGGATATTTGCGACGCTTCGCGTGACAAGGAAATGAGAGAAATCGTGTAACGATTCTCGCGATTTTCGCAATTCACGCGACCGATGAGAAACGAACGCGCAGTATTGCTGACTGAAGGTTAGCGATCTCATTAATCAGATATTTCTCTCGAGATCGATAGATTTATGACACAGGTAAGGTTTGGTCGCAGGTTGTGACAACAGGTAGCCGTCACACGGTCGCTGTCATCTCACCGTATTGTCGATTTTTTTTTTTTTTAGCGAATAAGTTTTTCTTGAAACGCATTGCTTCTCATTAAAAGACGGCGTCGCGATAATAAAATATTTGTTCCAATGCTAACTTTAGGAGACGTGCTTTTATATATTCGTGTCATAAATCGCAATCTTTCCAAGCTGTCGGTTTCAATTCCCAAACAAATTTTGAGGCCAATTTAATAATAATTTTACAATTTATCTTCACAACGAACGACGACTCGCTAAAATTATTTTCAAGGCCGCGAAGTCCAGCAATTTACATCGAACATTTCGATTCGCATCGTTTATTCAATATCGCAATTATTTTGCGATGTTTTTTTACGCTGTTATTTACGCGCGTAAAATATCGATAAATTTTGTATATGTTTTTTATTCCCACGTGGAATCGATTATTAATTTGCGTTATCGAAATGTCAAGAGAAGAAGAGTACATGTGCTTTCGATTTTTTTACGTCAGATCGCGCGTATTCATCAATATTTCGGATTCGCATGACATCGAGAAGGCCAGCGATGTCACAAGTAAATGACGTAATAAACGGCCGCCCATTCCCCCGAAGCAAGGTCGTTGTATCGCGTCGAAATTTTACGCGGCTCTCTCGAGCTGTGCGAGAGATGGTCTCACTCGTAATTGCATAATTAAAGACAAGGTGCACGGCCGGCCGAACAGAGGTTTGCGTAATAGCGCGAATATGTTCGGCGCGTGCGTGAGCGTTTGGCTATATTTAAAAGGTCTCGTCTTGGTTGAAAGATCTCGCGCGCAGCACGTGGTCCGAACGTACACGCTGATCCCGGCGCGCGTGAGCTTTTACGTATCACCAGAGAGAAGAAGATTTTGATAATAAGAGAATGTGTAATCGCTTTTCCGCCTTGTTAAATCGATTTTTTTTATATCGACGTTTTACATCGATACAATTGATTTCACATATCGACGTTATGTCGATACAATTGATTTTATGTCGACGTTGTATCGATATGAGAAGAATTTAAAAAATTAGGCTTGACTCAGATGTGCCCAGCGACTTTCGAAGAACAAAACTGACGTTTCGCAATATTTACGTTGATGTATATTTGTTTAATTTATAGTTTTTACTATTTTTTTTATATTGTTTAACACGTTGCTCAACTTGTCTCGATTTTAATCAAAACAAATATTTAATTAGAAATATCAAATTAGAGTTCACAAGGTAGGTTTTGTATTAAACACAAATTGACAAAGAAAACGCACACGTACTGTGAATAAAGAAGAGATTTTGCGATTCCAAAGCGATTCGCGAATCTCCCAAACATTTCCAAACAACACACGTTCAAATACGAAACACGATCAAATACGTAACGTTTAAGCAAAATACGATTGACCGTTTTGTTGCAAGTCGCAAATGTCTAATTTCAGCGTGTTCTTCAAGAACAAAGGCCGCTGCGGACGTTCCGCACAGAGTTCAACATTTACGAAAGCACCACCAGCGAGGAGCGTTACACTTCCACAACTACTCACTACACCCAGTCGCAGTGAGTATGACTTGCGCTAAACAGCGCGGGTCGAAGTTAAACAATTATTCAGTCTCAGTAGATTTGTTTTGGAATTGCACACACTTTTGCAAGAGTTTGTTTCCGTTATGGAAAAAAAAAAAAAAAAAAACTATACATTTAACTCTCGATGGCTGTTGCTGCGCAGATACACCTCCGAGAGGCATGAGTCCACCGAGACGACGTACTCGAGCGAGACTTCGAAGCGAGGTTACGGCGCGGATCAGGCCGCGCATCGTCCTAATGGCGAGACCGGCAGTCCGGAGGCCGCCGCTTCTCCAATCGGCAAACGCTTGTACGAGAGCGAGACGACGAGGCGACAACAGCAGCAACAGCATCATCATCATCAAGAGTTCTCGTCCGTTGTGGACAGCGGTTTTAATAACGAGTTTAGGGGCGGAAAGAGAGAGCCGAGGGGCATCGATGGGGGCGCGGAGAACGTGATCGACGTTAGGGGTATCGTAGATCCGAGTACCGGCGAGATTCTCACTGTCGGCGAGGCAATCCGGCTCAGGATCCTCGACGTTAGGAACGGTAGAATAGTGACGTCGAGCGACGGCAGAACGAGCGTGTCGATCGAGGAGGCCGCGCGGGATGGTATGATCGACGCGGCGCTGGCCGATCGGCTGTTAGGTCCATGTGGGGTGACAGAGGACGGGCGTCGAGTGTCGCTGCTCGAGGCGATCCAGCGGGAGCTTTGCGACGCCGAGCGTGCCGACATCGCGGACAGAGTTAAGGTAACGACAGCAAGCCGTGACAACGGCGCCGACAGCGGCGCCGTCACAGGGGTTAGCGTTGTCGATGCGATGAGAGAGGGTTTGCTGGATCCGACCACGGGCGAGGTTGTCGCCGAGAACGGCGAGCGAATCTCGATCGAGGAAGCGTACTCGCGGGGCTATCTCACCAAGATAGACGTAACCGTAAAGGTGAATCGCAATGCCATCGCGCTGTCCGATGCGATAACGCAGGGTCTCGCGGACGACCGGTCCGGTCGCGTTACCGACAGAATCACCGGCGAGTCCTACACGCTGGACGAGGCGATCGATAAGGGTGTAATCGATCCGAACGTGAGAGAGATCGTGGATACGCGAAATGATGTCAAAGTGACGGTGGCCGAAGCCATGAAGCGCGGTATATTAAATGCCAAGAATGGCAGATACATGCACGGTCTGTCGATGGAAAAGCTGCCGTTCAAAGAGGCTCGTCGCCGGCAGCTGATCGTCAAACCGATGACGCTCAAAGACTGTTGCGATCTGGAAATCATTGACGACAAGGGCAAAATTGTCAGTCCGGCTCATCGAAGTAAACTAACCATACCGGAAGCCATATCCCGAGGCGTTTTAGATTCCGAGAAAATTAAATCCATAGTGGACACACGAACGGGCGAGATGAGCACGCTGAACGATGCGTTGAGCGAAGGAATAATTAAGGTCGAGGGCGCGTATCGCGACATGCTGAAGAACGAAGAGTTTTCGATTCCTCAGGCTGTCGAGAAGGGTCTCATCACGTCAGTTACGCAAAAAACTATATTTGACATAGACGGTTTCAAAGATCCGATTTCTGGCGAATACATCAGTTTGAACGCGGCTCTGCTGAAGGGTCTGATTAGCTCGAAGTCCGGGGGCACATTCATAATCGATTTAAAAACCGGAAAGACCGTTTCGTTGAGCGAAGCGGAGGAACAGGGTTACATCAGGGCGGAAGTGATGGAAATGCTGAATCGCGGGATCGGCATCACCGAGAACGGGCGCGAGGTGAGCGTTTTGGAAGCCGTGCTGCTCGGATTGCTCGATTCGAAGTCCGGCCAGTTGCTGGATCCTCGTAGTAAGAGAATAGTGCCTTTGGAGGAGGCGATCAAACGCGGACTCATCACTCCCGACGGTGCGGCGTTGCTCACCAGCATGTTGAACATAGCTGTCACCACTCAAACCGTGACGAAAACTATCAAGAAATACGTGACGACTCTTCAAACCGGCGAGGTCATCACGAGGAACTACAAGATCAGTTACGAGGAGGCGTTGAGCAGCGGTCTGATCGATGAGAGTAGAAATGAGTTTAAAGATCCCGACACGGGAGTGACAATATCCATCGAGGACGCTGTTGAACAAAGTCTGCTCGGTGATGTTCGCCACCAGAGTGCAGTCTCGCGAGAACGCACTCCGGATTCAACAACTTTCGAAAGTACCGTAACGGCGGATATTGAAGAGTTTCCTCGAAGTAGAAGCAGATCTCCACCTAGAGCAATTGGAACGGTTACTACTATTATCACTAAGGATGTAGCACCACGAGCGTTCTCCACACCGACGAAGGAATCTTCCTTCGTTACGATGACAATCGCATCGTCACCGACAACTGATACTTCTACTAGAGATTCGACATCTACGTTCGAAGAGCCATTGTCTTCCAGGAACGTCAGCGAATCGATCGAAATGACCTCCGAAGTAAACGTAACGTCGACAGTGCATACCTCTGAAGAGAAACACGTGGTAAGCTACTCGGATACTTCTTGTTCGCCTGACGAAGAAATGGAAACGGAAGTAATCTCAACTGTGCCAGCTACAAGTCACAGACCGGAAATCGTGAAATTTATAGAAAACGAGCGTGCTTCTACGGACAAACGAGTATTTGAATTACCTACGGACGGATGGACACTAGTCGAAGCTATCGACAGAAAACTGTTCGATCCCACAACGGGTCTTTTTATAATTCCAGGCACAGACAGATTGGTTTCCTTCGAGGAGTGCATCAAGCTTCAGATTATCAATCCGAATTCTGGTTTTGTAATCGATCCGAACAATGGAAGAAAAGTGTCCTTAGTCAGAAGCTTGGAGAAGAATATTTTAGACTCGACGGGTCATTACAGTTATCCGCAAAAGATATCGATGAAAGAAGCGATTGAAAATGGATTGATCATACTGGAAGGCGGGCCGAACGTGGACAGCGATAACACCAATCAGAGACTTCTTCAGATCACGAGAATATCAGGCAAACCTGACGTAGTGGAATTAACGCAAGTCGGCGATCCTACTCGGCAAACGGAAATCAAAGTTGCCGATGAAGTTTCCATGCCGGATCCGGTTCAAGTAACTCAGGGAATTATTTACGATCCGGGAACGGCTTTGGTAATCTCCACGAAAACTGGAAAATCGGCGAATCTGCTGGCCGCCGTAACCGAAGGAACTGTTCCATCTTCCGCTGTGATAGTCAAGGATCCGACGACAGGCAAAGACATCAGCATGACGGATGCTGTTAATCGCGGTATTCTCGACATGAACGCGCGCGAGTATAAGATCGACGACGGCAGGAAGATATCGTTACTCGACGCGACGAAATTCGGAGTGATTGCCGTTCTCGGCGCTCCCCTCGCGGCCACCGCGGCCGCTATAGAAGCGGTTCAGAGAACGATGGTCGAAGATCCCGCGACCGGCAAGAAGGTGCCGAGAGAAGTTGCAATCGAACGTGGCATCATTCCGATGGACGACAAGGCGAGTTCACCGATTACTGAATCTGCGAGCAGCACGCCTGTAGATGAAAATAAAAAACTTGCGCAAAGTGAATTTGAAAAAGTGCCTGAGGACGACACGAAGAGCGCAGTTACAATCGATACGCCGAAGATACAGTCTGTTGACATTCCGGACGGCGAGAGTCTCGGCACGAAGACCAGAGCGCGAGTCACGGTCGAGCCTAGATATCAGGTTACGATCGGCAAAGCGAGGACTCTGTCGCAGAGTCCCGAGCGAGAGGCAAAACCTATCGTTCTTCAGAAAATGCGAAAGAGAATAGTGAAAGTGGAGGAAGCGTTGCAGAGCGGCCTGATCGACGTAGAAACGGCGGATACCTTCGCGAAGAGAATGTGCAATGAGGAAGGAGAACCAATAACTCTTTCAGAAGCGATTCGCGACAATCGAATAAACGCCGATCGAGGAGAGATAGTGGATCCTCAACGAGGCGACGTGCTTACCATCAAACAAGCTATCGATCGCGGTATTTTAGATCCCGAAGGTGCGCACATATTGATGCCTCTGGCAAAGAGTCTATCGGTGCACAGCTTGTACACTCAGGGTCTGTTGGATCCTCTGGAAGGCAAAATCGTTCATCCTGAGACAGGCGCACATCTCACGCTGAACGAGGCTATAGTTTGCGAAATAGTGGATCCTTTGTCCAACTTGATGTTTACCGTCGACGGTCGTACGGAAACGTTGCAATCTGCCATTGCGAACGACACCATCGACGCTGACAGATCGTTGGTCAAAACGCAAGACGGCAGTGTCAATCTGGTCAAGGCGATAGAGAACAAGGTGTTCGAATTAAAGAAATCCGCTGAGTCTTCCGACATACCGCCCGCGGGAATGACGTTCCCTGTCGCGCTGAAACGCGGATTGATCGATACGAGCACGAAAAAAGTACGTCATCCGATCACTGGAGAACATCTGGCGTTGGAGGACGCCATAAAGGACGACTTTATCATGACGCTACCTTGTCCAGTCGCTCCTGACAGCATAGAAATAACGAAAGCTCTGGAATCCGGATTGATCGACAGAGACAACCATGTGTTTTTCCATCCTACCACGGGAACTCCCATTCCCATTGCCGAAGCTGTCGAGTCCGGTTTGCTCGTAATCAAACCACCGGCTGATAACGCCGTGGCTGCTATAACCGAGACAGTTACGTCGTATCACACAATCACGACCAAAACCGTCGAACTTTTGCCGGGTTACGCGCTGAAGAGCGCAACGGAGGTGCAAGACATCAATACTGGTAATATTATTACAATTGAGGAAGCTCGACAAAGAGGAATCATAAAGGACGAATCGGAAAATAAACAAGAATTTACAACGAAAGATATTAAAATGTCCTTCGATTACGCGGTGGAAAAAGGACTTGTCGACATGAAAACCGGTGTTTATACAGATCCTTGCACCGGCACTACAATGACTATCGCCAAGGCCGTCGAGGATGGAATACTCGATACTTCTTCTAGCAAGAGCGAATCACCTAGGAAATCGTCCAACAGTGGTTTAACCGTGTTGGAGGCGGTCGAGCAGATTTACGACGACAAAACCGGAACATTTAAAGATCCTGAGACGAACGAATCTTACAATCTGACAGAAGCGATGGAGGCTGGCTTAATCGAACCCGATTCCGTACTTTACAACGTGAAAACCAAAGAATCTATCACTACTCGAGAAGCAATTGAGAAAGGTCTGCTCGATCCGGTCACTGGAAAGATGAAGAACGTGCGAGATGAAAAGAATCGTTCGATCAGCATAGCGGAAGCTACGAAGATGGGTCTTCTGGCAGTCGTTGCCGCACCGTTGCTAGCTGGAAAAGCAGTCGTCGATGCCATTTCAAGTTATAAATCTCAAGAAACAAAACCGTCCGGTATTCCTGCGACGACAAAGTCACTCGCCACAACGGATAAAGTATCAGATCTACAAACGGCACGGAGTCAAGACGTTTCTAAACTTTCCCAGATTGATTCTTTCGAAAATAAAATTCGTATTTCCGAAGAAAGCACGAAACAAGCGGCGCAGAAAATACAGGAACCAGCTTTGGTAACAGACGCAGAAGAAAAGACGGTTTCCGAATTGCCTCTTCGAGAAAGTCGACCTGTCGCAACTTCCGCGAGCGATAAAGAAATCGCGGAGATGGAAATGGAAGACGATGGCAATCTGAAAGACATTACAGATGAAGACGTGCCTAGACAACTTCCAGTAATTATCACGAGAGAATTAACACCTCGGGATCTCGCAGAACTTGGAGTATACGATCCGGTGAGAGAGAAATTTCTGGATCCAGAAACTGGCATCGTCACTTCCTTCAACGATTTGGTTCTGCATCTTAAAGTTTTCGATCCCGATCGCGTGCTAGTTAAAGATCTGTCATCGAAAACGGACGCGTACGTGAAATTGCGCGAGGCGATCAGCAGACCTCTTGTAGACCGAAACGTCGCTTACATGGTCGATCCAAAAACTGGCAAAAAGATACCGTTCTTCGACGCAGTGCGTTTGGAATGGATCAAAGAGGAACCGGAGGAAGAGGAAGATGAACTTGTAAGAGAACAGTCTGAGGAATTACATTCTTTAACTTTACAAGAAGCGATCGATGCCGGCGTGTGCGATCCTGTTGTAGGAATATTTCAAGATCCTAAGTCGGGACGAACTTTGTCTATTAGCGAGGCCATCAATGTGGGACTCATTGACGCTGATATGCTTGGTGTGAGAAATATGCTTACCGACGAGATTATGCCATTTTCCGAGGCGCTGGAAACCGGTCTTGTGGATCTTCGTAACGGTTCCGTTTTCGATACAAAAACAAGAACGAATATCGACATCACTGCTGCGTTCTTGCAAGGTCTGATCGTGCCGATTTCTCGCAAGCCGATTTCGCTGGAAGCCGTGATCAGGAAAGGTCTCTACAACGCCGAGACGAGTGAAATACAAGATCCACTGACTAAACAATCGATTAACATCGACGAGGGTGTTCGTAGAGGTGTCGTCGACGCTTTTATTACCGAAATTCAAGATACGAAAGCTGGCTCGTCCGTTTCGCTGGACGACGCACTGACGATGAATCTGTTGAATCCTGTCACAGGTCAATTGCGCGATACGAAAGCTGGAGAACTTCTGCCGTTAGACGTGGCGCTTAACAAAGGTTTAATTATCACAACGCCGTTCGTACTTTCGCTGATCGATACGATCGTTCAGGAATATTATTCGCCGAAGACTGGTCTCGTTTTGAATCCCATGACAGGCGAGAATCTAACGCTAAAAGATGCACTGGCTATTGGTTATGTGAACGGCTCCACCACGGCAGTGAAAGATGACAGGAAAGATAAAGTCATTTCTCTTGACGAAGCTGAGGAAAGTAAACTGCTCGACCTGGTCAAAGGAACATTGACCTATCCACATTCCATGACGTTGGATATTGCTTTTGAAAAGGGATACATTTTGAGCACCGTAACACCATGGACATTACAGGATGCTCTAGCGCTTCAGATTTACGATCCAAAATCCGGCACATTTAGCATCGACGGCAATAATTATACTCTAGAAGACGCGATCGAGGAGGGTTTTATCAGCAAAGACAGTCCGTCTATTAAGGATCCTAGAAACAACGATATTATATCTCTGGGCGACGCTATCAAGCACGGTTTTATCAATGCGAAAACAGGTACCGCTATAGATCCGCACACCAGCGGATCTCTTCCGTTAAGTGACGCGTTGGATCGCGGACTTATAGTGCCAGCGAAACGTAAGATATCTCTACCGGAAGCTGTATTCAAAGGTTTGTACGATCCCAAGACCGGACAATTCACAATACCCGAAACACAAGAGAAGCTTCCTACCGATCGCGCGATCAAGATGGGCGTGATAGACGCTTCAACTGCAATCGTACGAGATCCCAACGGCGACGTAATGACGTTCAATAAAGCTATCAAGACCTCTGTAGTCGATCCTGTATCTGGGACAGTCAGCCACGCCAGAGGACCACCAGTGGACTTCCAGGAAGCGTTGGAACGCGGTCTGCTTGTTGAAACAAGAAGACCCATGAGCTTTAGCGAGGCCATTTCGAAGGGTATTCTCGATGAGAAAACCAACAGGTTCTTAGATCCACAAACGGGCGTTTATCTGACTGTACTGGAAGCTATTCAAAAGAATCTGATAGATGCTGAATCAGTTACTGTGAAAGATACGCGATCCAACGTCTGGAAGACGATGACACTGATGGAAGCTATACAGTCAAACTACGTGGACGGAACTACAGGCTACCTCAACGATCCTAACAAAGGTAACAGAAATGTATCTCTGAAAGACGCCTTCGAATCTGGTCTCATTGTTGACAATAGAGCTGCCGTGTCCATACAGCGTGCTATTCATCAAGGATTGTACGACGATAACACAGGCAAGATTACCGATCCAAGCACAGGCCGAACCGTGACACTGCACGAAGCGATGAGAAAGTGCATTATCAGCCCCATGTTACCGTGTTATTGGGACAAACGTGGCGAAAGATTGTTGTCTCTGGCGGAGACATGTCGCGCTGGCGTGATTGACAGACGCACCGGAATGTTCAAAGAACCAGGCACAAGTGGCTCAGTTTCGTTATCGGTCGCGTTACAACTCGGTCTTATTGTTGACATCGAAAGCATGGGATTCAGTTTGTACGAAGCGATACAGATGAACATGTACGACGTGTCGTCCGGCAAATTTGTGCATCCGACCAGCAATCGCAAGCTAACACTGGCCGAAGCGTGCCAGGTAGATTTGATAAATCCTCTCACGTCAATCGTGAAATGCACCAAGTCAAATAAATACATTCCGCTAGCTGAAGCAATTTCTTCAGGTATCATCGACGACATTCGTGGAACATATGTCATTTTGGATCTTGACAAAGCGATCAATCTACAAGAGGCGATGAAGAAAGGTTTTATCGTTACCTCGAAAATGCCTTTGTCGATAGAGGAAGCGGTCAAGTGTCGCTTTTATCGCGGCGACAGTGGCAAGTTTGTTAATCCCGTTGTAAACGAGTATTACGATCTGCTTCAAGCGATCAACTCTGATCTCATTGATCCCGATGTCACCGCGTTGAAAGATGCGACAACTGGACAGATCAAGTCGTTGATTGCGGGAATCGAAGACGGAACGGTCGACGTATCTCGGGGTAGAATACTCGATCCTAAAACGACACGTGCCTTTAATATTGATGTTGCGTTGGAACGAGGTCTCTTGGTTACGATCGACAAACCTTTAGCGCAACAGATAATTCGCAAATCACCATTGGAGACTTCGAAAGCCGGACCTGGCGACAGAAACGTCAAAGAATGCACCCTCGAGGAAGCGATTAATTATGAACTAATCGATCCGAACACGTCGGTTGTGAGAGACCCTAGAACTGGTCGATTTGTAACGACATCAAAAGCGATAGCAGACGGTGTCGTAGATCCCTCCGTCAAGGGTACGATCGAGCTGAACGGCGGAGGCAAGAAAGAACCGCGTTTCGTGCGTTTCGCTGACGTCACTGTATTCGTTAGGAAACCTCTCACTTTTGAGGAGGCAATCGAAAAGGAATATCTAACGTTGGAAACGGGCAAATTCACTGATCCGATCTCGAATGAGCAAGTGACCCTTAAGGAGGCGGTCGGTCGCGGTATGATCGACTCGGATTCAGCGTTGATCAAAGACTCGCAAAAGAAGAAGCTGGTAAAATTACCGGAAGCGTTCCGCAAGGGCATGATGGACGCGGATAAGGGCAATGTATTGGATACGTCTACGTCCAAGTTGTACAGCTTGCCCAAGGCCCTGGAAACCGGCCTGTTGATCACCCCGCGGAATGGCGTTTCGTTCATCGAAGCGTTGCAATTCGGTCTGTACAATCCGACCACAGGTGGCTTTCACGACCCCTTCGTTGTCACCTCTGTGCTAGACCGCAGGCGTCTCACGCTGGCAGACGCGATCGAGTCAAACCTGATCGATCCGTTCACCACCGTGATCAAAGATCCGTTCACGGGTAATATCGAGAGTCTGTTAGAGGCAGTGAGTAGCGGGAAAATAGATTCCGTGGGGGGCAGGTTAGTTGAAGATACGGACGGCAGGAGTATCGACTTCGTGAAGGCCTTGGAGCGGGGTTATATACTCGCCGCTGAAGCCAGGGTAAGTAGGACGAAACAGTATGTCTTTTTTTACACATTTTATTACGCGCGTTCTCCACCCTTTCGCACTATTCGACGTCTTGCCATCCGTTCGTTTTTTTTTTTTCTTGCTGTTTGGGTTTCTTCGATTTCTCACCCGAATTTACGTTGCTGTTATTGTTTCCACTCACAATTCTCTAACAGCTTCTTGAGAATTGGATGTGATTATCATTACGCTATATATCATTTACCCGAATCAACATCATTGCGTTTTTTTTCTTTTTTTTATTGTCATGCGATTCTCTCTCTCTCCGGTTTCATCTCACCCAGCCTTGATTTGAAGTGAAGTTTTTACTCCATCATTTTATTCGCAAGGAGAGACGCGCTTACCGGCATGGTATGACGGTCTCGCATGGACCACGTAATCTTTCTTTGATTCGCATGACACACATCTCGATCCTAGGACTTGGCAAAAATAATAATAATAATACGCGTAACGTGCATGGACGACGAAATAAGAACTTCGTACTTTGATCTTGTCTCTATTTCCTCCTCTTCTGCAGAGGAAACAAAAATCATCCAGCGCTTCCTTTTATCGGAATGTTCGCTTTTCTAATAAAATTCATATTTTGTTATCAGAAAGATCGCCTCCTTTATCACACACACACACACATACTCACATACATAATATCATACTCTCACTTCTGTGCTTACCTTCATTTATCCTAATGTGGGGTTCAGTAAAAGGTCGGTCATCATTTATACGCACACCATCATCGTGTACGATCTTTCTCAAAGGAGAGACTCGTCATGTAATCAACAGATCTACCAGGCCATCGGACGTTACGAGCGTCGTATATCACGAACAAACTTTCTCCACTACGCAGACTTGTCATTAATCCCAAGCCAAATTTTGTCGCATCAACAACGTTAATCCTTTGTTTTGTTTAATAAATTAAGTAGCATTAATCTATAATTTTAATGTTAATCTATTTAACTTTAATTTTATCATTAATTTTATAACTCGCTTGTCTTATGTTTTTTCTACGATGAGGTTTTTTTACATCTTCTCTGTGTAAAATGCGAATTGATCAATCAGTAATTTTGAAAAAAAGAAAAAAAAACAGCAATTATTCAGCAAGCTGATTACGTGCTCCGGATCTCATTGTGGTTCGATTTGAGAGAAACTAATGATCTCGAAAACAAATAATCATTTTCTGAGCATACACTAATGCGTATATCATGACATGCATGTGTTACGAAAATGTGCAAATTGGCATTTTGTTCATTTTTCATTTAAATTTAACATTTGTTTCAAAAAACCAAAAAAAGAGGACTTAAGGACTTGCGACCATAAACGTTTGTTTGCTATTTTGCCTTTCATTATCCTTCGCATTGGCTTCATTGGAATGGAAATGACAAACACAGTGTGATATGGCAAATAAATTAAAGGCAAAAAAAAAAAAAAAAAAATGAAAATAGTATTTGAAACTGATCAAAATTCTCATGAGTAATATATGAAAGAGATAACACACACAGATTTGCAATAAGAAATGTGTACAAAGTAAAATAATATTATAATATGGTAATGATTGATGAATGTTATATATCTTCTGTACACTTTCTAACATATATAGTTAATAACGTGAAACGCTTGACGGTAATCAAGATCAACGGAATATGATTGGAATTACGAATTTTATGATGAATTATTATAATAGAAATTTTTAAAATTTTTTTAAGTGACACGACAAGTAAAATATAAAATAAATAATTTCCATCAACTCCGTTGGTTTTACTTGCCGTTTGCGTTGAGAAAAATTGTGGTACGTACAATTTTAACTAATAAAATTAACAAATGTATAAATTTATTTTCTCAAATTTTTTGACGATTATCAATTTACATATTAATTTTTGTGCGTTTTTTAATTTAACTTAAGTTTTTAATATTTGTTTGTTGAAAATTTGTTTTATGACAATTATTATACATTTAAATGTTTTCGTTTTTTTTCAGGTATGATTATGTTTACTTATCACAATCCTATGTTTTTCGCTAGCATGAGTTAGCGGAAGTTTCTCTCCACGTTGTACATTACTTGTATCATACATTTTATATGCATTTATTATACGCAGTTGACCATTTTATACACGATCGATTCAACAACGTTTCATTGTGCGTTTTAATTTATTTGCTTGGAAAATGTTTTTATTATGCAATTTACGTGACTTCATTATACTTGTTATCGTTTTACACGCTTCAAACTGCATATGAAAAAAAACCGATACGAGAGATATGCAGTTCTTGCAGATAAATTAAAGCTACCATTTAATACTGTATTTTACCTATACGTTAAAAAAGTGTGCCTGTGTTTGCATGCGTGAGTTATGTCGTAAGCTTTATATAACTACATTTTTCTTTAAGTAATATACAAAATAGCCGTAAGTCGTTATTGGTAAGATGACGATATTGTTTATTTTTTTTGTTCTATTTACTTTAGATTTTTTTTGTCTAGCACATTAGATTTACATAGCGACGTAGAGACTGCACGAGTAGATAGAAATAAATTTTGCTTTTTTCTCCGACTTTATTTTAGCAAGCGGTTGAGGAGAAGTACAAGCTCTGCGACGAAACATTGTCTAAGCTCCTGCAATGGATCTCCGTAGTTGAGGACAAATTGGCGAATCAAGACACTGTCAAAGAAGATGTGGAAGAACTAAGAAAACAAATAATTGCCATGAAGGTATGTATATATAATTGTTTTGGTGTAAAGTCAAATACATACGTAAAGAATTAAATAATATGTAATTGTTACACAGGATATAAAAGAGGATCTTGAATCGCACAGTCGACCAGTCTCGTCCTGTTTGGATCAGATTCGACAAGTTGTCCTAACCGGCAGCAATGTATTGTCCAGCGACGAAGTGTCCACATTAGAGAAGAATGGCCGATCCTTGAAAACTCGATTTGACAAAGCTCTAGATCGTACTGACAGATTAGTGAAACGTCTCACTGGTGCTAGAGATGAACTGACGAAATTCAAGTCAGTGTCACTGTCAATAATTATTTGATCAAGTAATTTCGAGAGTTTTTCTTATTTATTTTCATTGATTTATTATTTATTTCTACAGGAATGAGCTCACAACATTTTCCATTTGGTTGGACAAAGCCAGAACCGTACTCGAGGACAAAGAACGTTCCTTGTCCGATTTGAACAAGTTGAGCAGCAGCACGGACACCACGCGCGATTTTATCAGCGACGTGATCGCTCATCAGGCGGATCTGAGATTTATCACAATGGCCGCGCAAAAGTTCGTCGACGAGAGCAAAGAGTATCTCCACGTTCTCAACGACTTTAGAACCACTTTGCCGCAAAGATTGCCACACAAAGAACCGACCGCTAGTCAGGACTCACCAGTGCGAGCCGAAGTATCCAGCGCGACAGCTCATTACAAGGATTTGTTGTCTCGAGCGAATCTCTTGTCAGACAGATTGTCAGGAGTTGGCGGTAAACAGAGAGATTATCACGATTCTCTGGACAAAGCTAGAACATGGTTGAAGGAAGTCGAGCCAAAAGTTCACAGAGTCATCTCCGAACCAGTAGCCGCGGAACCAAAACAAGTAGAGGACCAATTGAGCAAAGCCAAAGCGCTGAATAATGAATTCCTCGCCAATGAGCGCTTGATCGACAATGCCAAGCATAGCGTAGGAGCTTTATTGAATTCTTTGGAAGGCCAATTGACGATCAATGAGGCTAACGATCTTGAGGAACCGGTGAAAGCTCTGGAAGACAAGTACAAGCAGCTTAGTAACGCTCTGGCCGAAAAATGTCAAGAACTTGACACGGCGCTCGTACGAAGCCAAGGAGTGCAAGATGCGTTGGACGGTCTCGTCGCATGGCTGAACAACGTTGAGAGTCAATTCAAGTAAGTAGAAAAAAAATAATTCTGCGCATTGTGAAATCTTGTGACTCTTATTTAGTTATTGATTTAAATTATTGATAGCCTGTATTAATTTAAATGTTTAATTGTGTGTTTGTACAGATCGCTTCAACGTCCGGCGAGCTTACAGAAGGAACGTTTGGAAGAACAGCAAAGAGAACAGCGATTGCTTCAGGCGGATCTGGACAGTCATCGTTTGAGCGTGGAAACTATTACGACGAACGCTCAAGATCTCCTTCTGAATTCGAGCAACGTCCGCATCGCCAAGCGTATTGAAAGCAAATTGAAAGATGTACAAAGTCGATTCGAAAAATTAATGGACAAGTCTTTGAGACGTGGCGAGTTTCTGGACGAGATAGCGCAAGCCCTCAACGAATTCCTCGCAGACGTGTCCAAATTCGAAAGTTGGTACGCGCACATGATGGAAATTCTCGATTCGAGAGAACTGAGCAAATTAGATGTGTCGGAATATGAAATCAAGATGTCTCAGTTGATCGATATGCGCGAGGATCAGCGTGGCAGTTTCGAAGATCTCATACGTAACGGAAAAAATCTGATTTCCAAGAAAGATATTACCGAAGCTGGCGCGATCAGAGACAAGATCAAAGCTCTCGAGATCCAGTGGAAGGAACTGAACAACTTGCTCGACGAGAAGCAACGATTGTGCAAATCGAGGGCGGAACAACACACGGCGTATGAGAAGCTGCGCGATCAAGTGCTTGATTGGCTTACTCGTACGGAGAACAAGGTGCAAGGTCTCGAGCCAGTCGCCGTAGATCTTGACAGACTAAAGATGCAACAGGAGGAATTGAAACCTATACAAAAAGAATATCGCGATTACGGCAACACCGTCGACAAAATCAACGATCTCGGTATTGCTTATGACAGTTTGATGAAGGAGCGTGGCGAAAGTCCAACGCGTCGACGCGGCAGTACAAGTCCGACGAAGAGACCAGGTATTATTACGTTTTGTTATCGTATCTATGTGTACAGACACTTCCTGTTCGCATGATCGTATTGTGCCTGTGAACTGTGTACGTTGGCTTCTCCGCGAGCCAATTGTTACTTCAGTTCGTAAAACTTCTAAGTTATCGCAACTTAACCAGCTCATGTTACCTCTCACGTTGCATCTTTTTCAGCACACACAATCATTACCATTTTCGTTTGATCGTTTTTTTCTGTCATTTTTTTTGTAGTACTGCGAATGTCACAAGACGGTCGCTCGCCGTCACCCACTAAATCCTACGCAGTTCAAAGTCCGGTCTCCCCAGGTGGTAGCAGCGGATTCAGCAGTCGCCGTTCGAGCCAGGACGGTTTCCATTTGGAAGAATTGTCGCCCGTTCAACAACAGCTATCGGAAATTAATCACAGATACGAATTGCTCGGCGCCAGATTGTCCGATCGTCAAACGGAACTGGATAACATTAAAGAGGAAGTGAAGAAACACTTGGACCATTTGAAAGTGCTCTCTCAATTCTTGGACAAGGTAAATAATTTTTTCCATAGCATTTGTTTTGTTTTACAATCCGTATCCGATGTAAACGCGATAAATAAAAATATTTCTCTAATAGATTCAACGGCAGTTGCCTAAAGAAAGTATGCCCGCCACCAAAGACGACGCGGACAAGACGGCCAAGCAAGTCAAGGCTCTTATCGAGGAGATGTACGAAAAGCAATCCTTACTGGACAATACTCGAACGCAAGTGCGCGATTTGGTCAGACGTAAGAAAGGAGCAGACGGCGTTGACAGGTTGAACGATGAGATGGAAGACGTCGCCAGCCGATGGAAATCGATTTCGGACAGATGCAAGGACAGAATTAAATTTTTGGAAGATATCAAAGATTTCTATGACACATACGAGGGTCTCAATTCTTGGCTCGGCGCTAAAGAACGTATGCTGGGCGCCTTGGGACCCATCTCAGCCGATCCCCGCATGGTCGCAAGCCAAGTGCAGCAAGTGCAAGTTCTGCGAGAAGAATTCAGAACTCAGCAGCCGCAACTGGATCATCTGATACAAGTTGGAGAAAGTATACTCGTCGCGATATTCGTTGACTCTCCGGATGGACAGAGAATAAATGCGAAATTACAAAACGTTCTGCAGAGATGGGCAGATCAAATGGGAAGATTGGACGAGAGAGCTCAGAGTTTGGGAGACGCCGTTGATACTAGTCGCGAATTCGATGCTAGTCTCAATCGACTGCGGGACGCTTTGCAAGGAATCTCAGACAACTTGGACGAGTTGACTCTTGAGAAGGATCCGGAGGAACAACTTCGTAAGGTTGAGAATCTAGAGAGACAATTGGAAGGCCAGAGACCGTTGTTGGCGGACGCGGAAATGGCCGGTGCGCAACTGTGCGAAGTTCTGAGCGATCCGGGATCGAAGTCCGAGATTCAAGGAAAACTCGCCACAGTCGGTAAGATGTATAACAACTTGCAGAAGAAATTGGATCACAGGAAGGCCGAAATCGAAGGTAGTCTTCGAGATGGAAGACAATTCGAAGCGTCCTGCAGCAAAACACTGGGATGGCTCGCGGACGAACTTGGAAACATGTCTGAAAAGCTGTTGGTGTCTGCTGACAGAGAAATTTTACAACAACAACTGGATCATCATGAGGTAAAAACATTTTAAACGTTTTTTTACATTTGCGCAAAATATTTTATTAAAAATTTTTATTGCCACTGATGCGGTTATAAATTTTTGTTTTTAGCCTGTGTATCGAAACGTGATGAGTAAAGAACACGAAGTTATAATGTTGCTGAACAAGGGACGCGACATACTCGCGCGATCCCAGAAAACCGAGAACCGCTCTCTTCAACGCGATTTGGATAAAATGCAATCTCAGTGGGATCGTCTGAAAAAGGACACTGTCGAGAGACACACCAGACTGCAAACTTGCGCAGAGCATTGCAAAAAATATTACAAAGCTCAAGATGCGTTCCTTCCCTGGCTCCGACAAGCCGAAGACAAATTGGACAGTTTAATTCCCACCTCCTTCAGACGTAAGGACATAGAGAAGCAGCTGAAAGAATTGTCGTCATTCAGAAACGAGGTGTGGAAACACTCGGGAGAATACGAAAACAACAAAACACTCGGTGAGACATTCGTTGGTGCTTGCGACATCGACAAGCAGAACGTGAAGAACGAGCTTAGCGCTATGAAAACTAGATGGGACAAGTTGAACAACGGTACGTAGTTTGCAACAATATATTTGATATTGTTTTACGGAATATGTTTCTCTCGTATCAACATAATTCGATTGTTCGTTGCAGAGTTGCTGTCTAGAACACAGTCTCTGGAAGATACCGCGCGTCACCTGATGGACTTCAATGAGAACTTGCGCGATTTGCAACACGGTTTACAGCGTTGCGAAGACAAGTTGGCTTCGCACGATGCTCTCGGAGGAGCAGCCAAAGATCCAAAACTTCTCGACAGAATAAAGGTAAGTTATTGTTCACCACTAATATGAAGCAAAAAATGGAATTGTTGCGAGAATAAATTTATTGTAACGAATTTTCAGAATTTGCGAGAGGAAACAACGAGCTTGAAGAAACCTTTGCAATGCGTCAAACAACAAGCCAACGATCTTGTGAACAAAGCCGGGGAGCAGGGCGTCGATGCAACGCACTTGCAAGACGAAATTGACAACGTTACAGATCGCATTAATGATCTGCAAGCGAAACTCGACGACAGATGCAACGAGTTGCAAAGCGCGGCGACGGCAGTCGCGCAGTTCAACGATCAGGCGAAATTGATCAGCCAGCATCTGTCCGCTCTTGAAAAAGATTTGGACTCCATGAAGGCACCCGGTAGAGAAATCAAGATCGTACGTGGTCAATTGGAGGATATCGCCAGAGTCATCAGCAAAATTAACAAGCTTTACGAGGAGATTGGCGATCTGGAAAATCGCGGCGAACGTTTGGTCGATTACGGTTTTGCCGCTGACGCCGTGGCAACCAGAGATCAAGTCGATGGATTTAAACGACAAATCGGCAAGCTGGACGAGCGTGCTCGCGCCAGGGAAGATGAACTCACCTCTACCTTAAACAAGTTGCAAGAATTCTATCAATCGCACGTACACGTTATGGAAGGTATTAGCGACGCGAACGAACAGGTTAAAAAGTTCAAGCCTGTTGGATCCGAAGTGGATTCGATTAAAGCTCAACAGGAGGACTTCAGGGCTCTCAAAGTTAAAAAAATTGAACCGTTGGCGCACGCTGTTGAGGAGTGCAATGTACTCGGTCAAAGCCTCATACAGACTGCAGGACGAGATGTGAACACTAGCAACATCGAGAAAGATGTCGATAAAATGAACGAAAAATGGAACGATCTGAAAGATAGGGTAAGCATTCAATCTGTTTTCCAAATGTTATAAGAAACCTGCAAGTTTCCAAAATACGTGAAATAAGTACAAGAATTTTTCTTTATTTTTTTAATAATTTGTTTTTTGTTTCAGTTGAACGAGCGAGACCGCAAACTGGATGTTGGATTGTTGCAATCTGGCAAATTCCAAGAGGCCTTAGACGGTCTGGAGAAATGGTTAACCGACACTGAAGAAATGGTTTCGAATCAAAAACCACCGTCCTCCGACTACAAAGTCGTAAAGGCGCAGTTGCAAGAGCAAAAGTTCCTGAAGAAGATGTTGATGGATCGCCAAAATTCTATGTCGTCTCTCTACAATATGGGACGCGAGGTGGCCGCGGATGCGGACCCGAAGGAACGTAAGGCCATCGAGAAACAATTGAACGATCTCGTAGGCAGGTTCGACAATCTGACGGAAAGTGCCGCGGAGAGAATGGATGCTCTCGAACAAGCGATGGCGGTGGCGAAACGATTCCAAGACAAACTGGTGCCGCTTGCCATTTGGTTGGACAAGACAGAGAAGAAAGTAAGGGACATGGAACTGGTTCCCACCGACGAAGAGAAGATACAGCAACGCGTCAGCGAGCACGACGTGCTTCACGAGGATATTATATCAAAGACGCCAGATTTCAGCGAGCTCACCGAGATAGCAAGTCAATTGATGTCGCTTGTAGGCGAGGACGAGGCCGCTGCTTTGGCTGACAAGCTCCAAGATGCGACTGACAGATACGGCGCCTTGGTCGAAAGATCCGAGGCTCTCGGCAGTTTGCTACAACGTTCGAGACAAGGCTTACGTCACTTGGTTCTCACATATCAATTCCTTCAGGGATGGATGGAGAACATGGAAATTCGACTTTCGAAATATCGCATCTTGGCCGTGCACACGGAGAAGCTTTTGCAGCAAATGGACGACCTTGCTGACCTTACAGAAGAGATCTCTACGCGACAAACGGAAGTTGACAGCACTGTGGATTCCGGTCTGGAACTGATGAAACATATTTCGAGTGACGAGGCTCTTCAGCTAAAAGACAAATTGGATTCTCTTCAACGACGCTTCAACGATCTTGTCACGCGTGGATCGGATCTTCTGAAACACGCCCAGGAGTCCTTACCGTTGGTGCAACAGTTCCACGATAATCATAACCGTCTGATGGATTGGATGCAGGGCGCGGAATCTGCTCTGCAGTCAGCCGAACCTCGCGAGGAAGAGATCATCCGACTTGAAATGGAAATATCAGAATACAGACCTGTCTTGGATAAGATAAACGCTGTTGGTCCTCAACTATGTCAAATGTCGCCGGGAGAAGGTGCCGCAACCATCGAAGGTCTTGTGACGAGAGACAACAGAAGATTTGACGCAATCGCCGAACAAATTCAGAGGAAAGCAGAGAGAATTCAATTGAGTAAGCAGCGGTCTTTGGAAGTGATCGGCGACATCGATGATCTTCTCGACTGGTTCAGAGAGGTAGACAATCAACTCCGAGAAGCCGAGCCTCCCAGTAGCGAGCCTGAGATTATCAGAGTACAACTAAAGGAACATAAAGCTCTCAACGACGATATATCCAGTCAGAAGGGTAGAGTTCGAGATGTCATTTCGACGGCGAAGAAAGTTATACGCGAGAATACTCAGCATGAGGACACGTCCACGATCAGAGACAAGATGGAAGATTTACGCGAGACGATGGAGATTGTCTCGGGGCTTTCTTCGGATAGATTGGGCGCTCTGGAACAAGCTTTGCCACTGGCCGAACATCTTCGCGACACTCACGCTGGCCTGGTTAGCTGGCTCGAAGAGGCCGAACATCAAATCGCCATGTTACCTATGCCCGCTCTACGACCGGACTTGATAGCGGCGCAACAAGACAAAAATGAACTTCTCATACAGAGCATCAATGAGCACAAACCTCTTGTGGAGAAACTCAACAAGACCGGTGAGGCTCTCATTAAATTGTGTAACGAAGAAGAGGGCATAAAGGTGCAGGATGTTCTAGACAATGACAATGCTCGCTATGCAGCACTCAGAGCCGAGTTAAGAGGCCGACAACAGGCATTGGAACAAGCGCTGCAAGAATCCTCGCAGTTCTCTGACAAACTAGAGGGTATGTTGCGCGCTTTGTCTTCCACTGCCGATCAGGTAAACGGCGCCGAACCTATAAGTGCCCATCCAACTCGTTTGCGGGATCAGATGGAAGAGAACGCAGCCTTGGCGGACGACCTTGCACAGAGATCTGAAGCTTACGCGGCTGTTAAAAGAGCTGCAGACGACGTGATCAGCAAGGCTGGCAACAGAGCCGATCCAGCAGTGAAAGACATCAAGCGTAAACTGGACAAACTCAACAAATTATGGACCGATGTGCAAAAGGCTACGACCGATCGTGGTCATACTTTGGACGAGACTCTGGCTATAGCCGAGAAGTTCTGGGCCGAGTTGAACGGAGTGATGGCTACTTTGCGCGAATTACAAGACGCGCTTGCTGGACAAGCACCACCAGCGGCTCAACCAGCCGCCATCCAGCAGCAGCAAGTGGCATTGCAGGAAATCAGACAAGAGATCGATCAGACCAAGCCGGACGTCGAACAAGTTCGAGCATCGGGACACGAATTGATGGGATTGTGCGGAGAACCGGACAAACCTGAGGTGCGGAAGCACATCGAAGATTTGGATCAGGCTTGGGACAATGTCACCGCTTTGTACGCCAGACGCGAAGAAAATCTTATCGACGCCATGGAGAAGGCGATGGAGTTCCACGAGACGTTGCAGAACCTGTTGGAGTTCTTGCAGGAGGCTGAGGATCGATTCGCGGACATGGGCCCACTCGGCAGCGACATTGACGAAGTAAAGAAACAAATCAAGCAGTTGGCCAGCTTCAAAGCCGAAGTGGATCCGCACATGGTGAAAGTCGAGGCATTGAACAGGTGAAAAAATTAGATTTTTTAAGAGAAATGAATTAGAAATGCGCTCGTTGATCTGTAGAGAATATTTGAAACTAAACAGTGAGTGGCTTATACGAGCAAACCATGGGTTGTTTGTTTTGAATTAAAAATAATATTAAAATTATCGAACGTGTTTAAATAGATAAAGACAAACATATATGTAAACAAACGGGTGTTACTGATTAGTTTCGCGTATTCTCTTTAGATATTTAAACTAAAATTGGATCTCTATACTTTATAATGGCGTTACAAAGAGTTCAGTGCCACAGCATTGTCCCCTTTGTGAAACTCCCACCCGAGAATTGTGTGCAAGAGACCTTCGAGAAAACGTAAATTCTAATTCCGAATTTTGTTTTTTTCTACGCTGGTTCCCGAACATAGGAGTCTGACAAGGCAAGTCAATCTCTCTCTGTGTTGTCGCTGGTAGTTAGAGCATGGCTTCATGTTGTTTTAAGAATGTTTATTTTATCCCGCTGAGTTTAATAATCTTGCAGTTCTCTAACATTACATATGTAATTGAAAACTCCCCGTTTTCCCTTTGTGTTACCAGAAGGCAAATTACTCAATAGCGGATGGGTCGAGCGATCAACTACGAAAACTACTCGTAGACAATAATAATAATTTATCTTCTTGACAGAAGTAATGTGTGGAAGCGGCAGTGATTAATATCCAGTTGATATTAAATTCCTCTGGTAGCTAAACTTGTTGAAATTGTTACACCTTGGTCCTCCCTCTGTAGAAATGGTGTTCAATGTTGTGTGGTTCGAGCACATGCAGCAGCATATATATACGTGTGCTGCGTAATATAAATATATAAAACAAAGCATTTGTTGAAATTATTAAAACAATTTCTAAGATGAAGTTTTCTCATATCCAGGCAAGCGGCCGAGTTGACAGAAAGGACTTCTTCCGAACAAGCAGCAGCCATCAAAGAACCTCTCGGTGCCGTAAACAAACGATGGGACGGATTATTGAGAGGTTTGGTAGAGAGGCAACGATTACTGGAGAACGCGTTATTGCGACTCGGTCAATTCCAACACGCTTTGGACGAATTATTGGTGTGGATCGAGAAAACCGACAAGACATTGGACAATCTCAAACCAGTAGCTGGCGACCCGCAAGTGATCGAAGTCGAGTTAGCCAAACTGAAGGTTCTGGTGAACGACATACAGGCACATCAGACCAGCGTCGACACTCTGAACGATGCTGGACGTCAATTGATCGAAGACGGCAAAGGAACCGCGGAAGCGTCCACCACAGCTGATAAATTAGGCACACTGAATCGTCGTTGGCGAGATCTGTTGCAACGAGCTGCTGATCGTCAACGAGAACTGGAAGATGCTCTACGCGAGGCGCAGTCTTTCACTGCCGAAATTCAGGACTTGCTGTCGTGGCTGGCCGATGTAGACAATATGATAGTAGCCTCAAAACCCGTTGGTGGATTGCCTGAAACGGCATCCGAACAATTAGAACGTTTCATGGAGGTGTTCAACGAGTTGGAGCAAAACCGCCCGAAGGTCGAGACAGTGTTGCAGCAGGGACAAGAATATCTGAAGAAAGCGGATACAACCAGCGCCGGCGGATTGAATCACAATCTGCGCACATTGAAACACAAATGGGACAATGTACTCGCACGTGCCAGCGATAAGAAAATAAAATTGGAAATTGCTCTGAAGGAAGCCACCGAGTTCCATGACGCGTTGCAAGCTTTCGTTGATTGGCTGACGAACGCTGAGAAGATTCTAACCAATCTCAAACCCGTCTCGAGAGTCATGGAAACCATACTTCAACAGATCGAGGAACACAAAACATTCCAGAAGGATGTTGGGGTACATCGCGAGACTATGTTGAATCTCGACAAAAAAGGAACGCACCTGAAATACTTCTCTCAGAAACAAGATGTGATTCTTATCAGGAACTTGCTCGTTAGCGTGCAACACAGATGGGAACGAGTGGTCTCTAAATCGGCTGAGAGAACAAGAGCCTTGGATCACGGCTACAAGGAAGCCAGGGAATTCCACGACAGCTGGTCGAATCTGATGAATTGGTTAGACGAGACGGAAAAGATAATAGACGAGGTTGCCGCCGACGGACTTGGTGGGAACGATCCGGACAAGATAAAATCCCGTCTCAACAGACACCGCGAGATACAAAAGGCGTTAAGCGCTAAGCAGAGCACGTACGACACTACCATGAAGAACGGCAAAACGCTGAAGGACAAAGCGCCGAAGACCGACGAGCCCGCTTTGAGAGAGCTTCTGAACGAGTTGAAGAATAAGTGGACAACGGTTTGCGGCAAATGCGTGGACCGGCAGAGAAAGTTGGAAGAAGCTCTTCTGTTCTCCGGACAGTTCAAGGATGCGATTCAGGCTCTGCTGGAATGGCTAAGCAAGACCGAGAAGTATCTGGCCAACACAGGACCGCTTCACGGCGATTTGGACACGGTGACCAATCTGGTGGAGCAACACAAGACTTTCGAGATAGATCTGGAGTCACGTGCCTCACAAATGGAATCTGTTATCAAAACCGGTCGCGAGTTGGAATCCAAAGCTTCAATCGAGGACGCGTCGATGATCAGATCGCAAATGTCCGAATTGAATAGCCTCTGGGACAGAGTAACCAGTCTGTCGTCGAAGAAATCTCTACTGCTGGAAGAGGCTCTCAGGGAAGCTGAACGGCTTCACAAGGCCGTTCACGTGTTGTTAGAATGGTTGAGCGATGCGGAGATGAAGCTGCGATTTGCCGGACCGCTGCCGGAAGACGAGCAAGAGAGCAGGAACCAACTGATGGAACACGAGAGATTCCTTCGCGAATTGAAGAGCAAGGAAATCGAGAAGGACAATACGTTGGAACTGGCACACATCATTCTTGGGAAAGCGCATCCGGATGGCGCCGCTGTTATCAAACACTGGATTACAATTATTCAGTCTAGATGGGAAGAAGTGTCGACATGGGCCTATCAGAGAAACCAGAGACTGGAAAATCACATGCAGGGATTACAGGTTTTGTATTGCGCTGTTACACACCTACTTTTCTCGCGTGAAAAAAAAAAAAAAATAAGACTAATATTGTTACGGCGTGGTATTTTTTTTGTTTTTACAGGATCTTGACAATCTTCTCGAGGAGTTGTTAGCCTGGCTCGAAGGTTTGGAGAACACTTTGAACGCTCTTGAGGCGGAACCCCTGCCCGACGACCGGGCCACGCTCGAAATGCTCATCGCAGATCACAGAGAGTTCATGGAGAACACCAGTCGAAGGCAAAATGAGGTCGATCGCGTGTGCAAGGCTCGGCAGATCAAGCCAGTAAAGGATTCCAGAAAAATATCGAAAGTTAAATCACCAGCACCTACGTACGTATTTATTGTGGCGTAAAACAATTTACACATGTTATACAAGTCAAATATCGATACGAAGGTCTTAACGTTTGTGAAAATAATGAAAGTACACACATGTAATGTGATGTCATGTATACCATGATGATATATAGCATCGTATTTCGTGACATAGTTTGCATTTTAATCGCACTTATATTTTCATGTTTTTGCATTTTAATAAATTTATAGTTTCTCTAGTTTTCTATGTTGTCGAGACAAAACATCGCACAGTTGATGTCACTTTATCATCGTCAAAAGAATCGCAATCTCTCTTCACACATTGCCAGCTTTTTCTCGTGCAACTTTTTAGCTTAGTTTTTTATACATCAAGTTTTGTGTGTTGCATGTTATATGTTGCTTTTGCGATGGAATTTCAGTAAGGATCTCTATCAGGATAGCGAGCATGAGCAGCCTCAACCACGCAAACAAAGGTGCGTTGTAACCGCATACCCCATACAATATATCTTACATAAATTTAATCGCGTAGGCTTTTCGCAAGCGATGATTCTGCCCGCACATTCTTTGGTAGTTAGTATACGTACATGTTTCTTTTTCTTTTTGTGTGTGTTTCCGTGTGTTAATTCATTCAAGATACATTCACGACATTTGTTTTTTTTTCGTTCATAAATTCACATGTTTGCACAACAACTCTGCGGTACAAGTCAACAGCGGAAATCAACAATTTAACAACAAACGTGTGTCAAAAAGTGTGTTCAACTCACCCGCTTTTCACAACTCTCTCATAATCTCTCAATGTTCGCACAATCGAGATTGTTCACGATCAATCTCTGCACTCTCGAGATGTCACACATCTTTACGTGATTTTAATGTGTTACATTTGTAAGTCACACACGCACGTAGCTTGAGACACTTCTCGTCACGATTAACAATTTTTTTTTCTTGTTCTGACACAAAGTGTGGAAATTTTGATTGTTTGTGTGATAAAATACGATGTAAATTTTTAATCTTCTGACACGTGAGAGAAAAATGTAAATGCTCGAAGAGAATTTTTTACTTTTTACAGTTTTACACTTTTACGACTCGATGCGACTCACAACGAAAAACAATTTGTTAAATTAGATACCGCTGTATCGAGACACAGCGCATCGAAGAAACGTTTTTTTTTTATAGATTGCCTTATTTTAGTAGAAAGTGTTTTTGAGTGATGTGACGCATGTTCCTGTTTAGCCGAGGCAGCCCAGGTCGTGACAGAACGCCAGATCTTACACTGCCGCACATCGGTCCACGCTTCCCACCTAAAGGAAGGTTCGTTGCGCCTTATTTTTTTTTTATTTGAGTTCATCCTCGAGAATTTTTTTTTTTTTTTTTTATTCGCGCGCTCACCGGTTTTCATCATCTGGAATCATACATACTGGCGTGTTTACTCCGCTTATCATACGATTGAGAACACAATCATTGAACGACTCGTTAATAATAAGCTCGGTAATGGGATTACTTGTTTCTTTTAGCGGGACGAAATGGTTGGGTTTGATGAAACTGTTCATGAGTTTGTTTTGCATTGAAGGTGTGAAGTTTTTCTGAGTTTTTCTAATACGATTTCATGTGTATGTGAATTTTTCGATTTTCTTTTCGCGGATACGTGGGTTACATCTCCTTTTCACACACATTTTCAACCATATTGATAATTATTGGGCGAGATATCATTTCGCACACACACACACACACACACACACACATACATAAACATTTATAACTTTTGTATCGAATCCATTTGTATTTCGTGTCTGTTCTTGCGCAAAATGTATATGTACATGTTTCTTTCTCTCTCTCTCTCTCGCTCTCTAAGCAGCAAAGGAGCAGAACCCGAATTCCGTAGTCCGAGAGTCAAGCTGCTGTGGGATAAATGGCGTCACGTGTGGATGCTGGCGTGGGAACGTCAACGACGCCTGCAGGACAAGTACAATTACATTCAAGAACTGGATCGTGTCGCCAACTTCAGCTGGGAAGATTGGCGCAAACGAGTAAGAGACTCGTAGTAGTTTAATAAACGCGATTGATGTGTTGCCAGTTATGGGAAAACTTAGTGCACGAAAGACATGCTTTTGCTTTTCTGTTGCAGTTCTTGAAGTTCATGAATCACAAAAAATCCAGACTCACCGATTTGTTCAGGAAGATGGATAAGAATAACGACGGACTCATACCGAGAGAGGACTTCATTCAAGGAATTATGAACACCAGTACGCGTCTCGTCACTGATATTTTTTTCAAAAAAAAAAAAAATACACACATGGAATTTACTGTATTAAATTTTTAAAATTGTCTACAGAATTTGAAACTTCGCGTCTGGAGATGGGTGCTGTTGCCGATCTGTTCGATCGTCACGGCGAAGGTTTAATAGATTGGAAGGAGTTTATTGCCGCTCTGCGCCCCGATTGGGAAGAACGACGAACGTACAACGACACGGACAAAATACACGACGAAGTTAAACGACTGGTCATGCTCTGCACTTGTCGCCAAAAGTTCCGAGTGTTCCAAGTTGGCGAAGGCAAATACAGGGTACGTGTGACACACGGCAATCTGTGATTATTAATTCGCACAATCAGTGGTAGTTTTAGTTTCACACAATGGCAATATAACTTTGTACATTATTTCAATCTTTAATCAAACACGCGCGGAATATTGCAGTTTGGCGACAGTCAAAAACTGCGATTGGTTCGAATCTTGCGCTCCACTGTCATGGTACGTGTAGGTGGAGGCTGGGTAGCATTGGACGAATTCCTCTTGAAGAACGACCCGTGCCGCGGTAAGTATTTGCTACGAGCTCTCAATCTAATAGTTTTCGAAGAATCTAAGGCTCTAGGTTGAGATAAAAAATCTTAACCGTATATTTGTCTCTATCCGTAACTTTGCAATCAGTAAAAAAAAAAAAAAAAAAAAAAAAAAAAAAAAAAAAAAAAAAAAAAAAAAAAAAAAAAAAAAAAAAAAAAAAGAAGAGAGTGTGAACAGTCAAAAGAAGGTATTAAGAAATTCAATTGCGAAATATTTCCAGAAAGCAAGTTTTAACTGAAATAACTTTTTGAAAAAAAAATCTAATATACTATATCTATCCTTCTCTCTACCCTTCCCCAAGAGGCGATTAAACTTGTGTTTCTGTTTAATTTCGGATTTTCACTCATCGAAAATACATCTGTAATATCTGTTATTATTAATGACTTTTTTTTTTATATGTTTTGATTTTGTTTCCATATGTTTCCACATTGTTCTCTCACTTCATATTAATCGGCATTGATTTGCTTTGCTGCGTTAAGACAAAAGAGTGTAGTGCAAGAGACTTTTATTGTCTGATTAACGAAAGCATATCCGAACGTTCAATTCGGACATAACTGTGTTCGTATGCTGTTGTTATCCTACGTACTAAAAAAAAATATATATATACATATATATTAATGTTATTACACATGTACGATTTCGACTCCTGAGGTATTGTAACATTGTCATTTAATTGAAACATTAAACGAAACTTGATAATTAGACTAACATTTAACGGAACAATTGAGGGTAGTGTATACACCCGCTGTTTATTGCTTTTTTGCTTATCTAGTAATCGTTTTCCTGCCATATTGATTTATATGTATCAATTAGTTTGTTGGCTTTCGTATTACGTTGACAAGTAAAAGAAACAATCAGATACCCTTCTCTCTCTCTTTTTCTCTCTCTCTCTCTCTTTGTCTCTATTGACGTTTTATAATTTTTTTTTGTGTTTTTATACGCGCTATTCGCAGCATGCATGACGACGATTAATTTTATCACATAATTATTGAATCTGAAAGATGTCCCCGTTGTTGGTTTCTCTATATTTCTTTGTAATTTTCTTTCTCTCTCGGTCTCCGTCTTTCTACCACAGTTTTCGAAATACCGACTTTGAAACAGTCCGATCGTTAATATTCTCTCTCTATTGGAGAATGTTCTGTGGCATATAACAATATAGTTTTCATGGATATGGTAGATAGAAGATATATATATTTATATATATATATAATACATTATGATAGGCATATCTCTAACATCTTGTGACTATGTACTAACGTTAACATAATAACTGTTCCTTCTTACTTTCCATTGTGCCGATCCTTCTTAAATCCCGTGACAAAAACTGTGTGACAAATATTTGTTCATTTTGTTCTTCCTCGTTTTTATATTGTGTCTTCTTTTGTTTTACGTTTGTATCTCTCGAATGATCTTCGACGAATAATTTGTAAACGCGAATTCGTTTAAATGTGTTTTTTTTTTATCTCGCGGGGTGCAAATGCATGCTGACCTCGCCCCGTTCGATCGATTCCGTATTTCGAATCGTGATTTTAACTCGTTAAGTTTTTCTAATGCCAATACCGGATCCTAACAAACCGGAACAACATGAGGGTTGGTGTCCGCTCGGTGAGAATCGTTTTACGACGCTTCATTCGTTCATGGTCTATACGTTGAAAATTTCGCTCTGTTTATTAAAAGATGATCTCGTTTTAGAATTTTTGTTATATTACCGAATTTTTTTTAAATGGATATATTATTTCATTTGAAACGATTCGCTTGATAGTAAATTATTATATATAGTATAGGCCATGAAGATGATATCCCTAAGTATATGGTGCATGATGTTGCATTAGCTTGTTCGAACTTTCGAAATGTTGTCTCTTTTTGTTGAGTATGTCTAGATGCGTGCGTGTGCGATTGTATTATATACGAAACAATTGAATATTGACAATTTATATTCGCGCAAGGTAAAGAGATTGGTGCAAAAATGAAACTTCAACGATTACTGCGTTGTCAATTGTCCCAGCTTCGTCGTGAAGTATCGTGTAGCAATTTGTTAAAGACAAAATCAAAGTGTCTGTGTGTTTTTTTTTTTTTTTATAAGTTTTTATAGAAAGCAGAATTGTTGAACGTAGCGATTGTCCAGCTTTATTTTTCTCGTTTAATATTGATTTTTTCGTTTCTTCGACTTTTAAGTTTTGGTGAATGGTATTTACATAATTATAACATTATCTACCTACTAAATTCCACCATTTCCCGCTCTGTCCTTCTTCTATTATTTAATGTGGTTATTTCATAGAGATTTATTTGCAATATTTTAATTTTTTTATTCGTAATTTCTCCCGTCTTTCGTACGAACATTGCCACGATGTCCTTGCTAGAAGACAACCAATGCATGTTTAGTCACTTTAGGTATTTGTTTTTGTTAAATTATTGTACATATGTACATATACTTATCGAGAATTTTGTACATATAAATTACAATTTAGAAAACTTCCCCTATTTTTATGTAATTAGTTTTTTTTATTAACGTATTAAAGTTACCAATTATAAAGCGTACATTGGTTTCTTTTAGCATGGTTACGAACATCATCCCAACAAATTACTTATGTTTTCCGTATATAAAATGTTCTGGAAATATATTTGTTTTTTTTTTTTTTATTAAATATTAGAATACAACAAAGAGTTTAACGAAATAAAATGAAAGCATCGCTAAAAGTCGCGTTTATCTTCTCTGTCGGCAGTATAAATTTGAATTTATTTCTTACAAAAAACTCATCTATCTGTCAAAATCCTTCCGGAACAATTTATATATTGTATAAATTAACCGCTTAGGTATATTGTTGTATATATTTACGTTTGTAAGTATATCGAATATATCAGTAGTTATATTATTATACTAAATTGAGTGTAAAGCTTGTTTCGAGTAACTTTAATTAGCTTGGAGATCTATTTAAAAGAGATTTATTTAATTTTATTGTATTAGAAAACTTTTTTCGATCATATATTCTAAATACGCTGTCTTTTCTTTTTTTGTTTCCATGACACACAAACACATACCTGATTATACCACATACGCATTCATACATGTTCAAAAAAAAAAAAAAAAAAAACGCACGCATATCGCGATATACAACCAAAACATCTTTTTCGCCTTCTCTATCTATCTATATCTCTCTCTCTCTTTTACACATCACGTACACGCAAAAACTACATACATATTTTTTCCTATTCATTATTGCCTCTGTTCACTGATAACGCGCTGCATGCCTTGATATTGTGAATCTCTGTAAAAAAATATATATATATTACTCACGACTCTCGTTCCGGGTGTTGTCGTTCCGATATTTTGTACAATTTTTATGCTTTATTTTTTTTCTCTTTTTTTTTTTTTTCATTCTCTCGTTAATCTAACACTGTCCGCGTTCGTTGTTTCATCTCAACGTCCATTCGTTTCGCGCTCACCTCTGAATTTTCTGTATAAAAAAAAAAAAAAAACTCTCTGGCACCTTCCTGTCATACCCCGCATCCCCGAACGCCTTTCTCCTAACTGCGTGCACGCAACACACTGTAGCCAAGGGAAGAACGAATATCGAGCTGCGGGAGCAATTTATACTGGCGGACGGTGTTAGCCAGACTATGACGGCCTTCCGATCCAAGCCGAGCCCGACCTCAACGCTGCAGCGTACGCAAATGTCTTCCAGCAATGCCGGACCGATCACCAAGGTAAGAAGAAGAAGAAGAAGAAGATTCGATCGCCGCGAGGCGATGCGTGCGGTTACAAGCACGCGTTCATTTTCACTCTAAAATCTCTCTATTTCTCTGCCGTTACTTTGAAAACTTTTTAGAAATCTCTCAAATATTTTTATACATTTCTTTTTTTACACACACACGTACACTGGTCGATACTCGGTATTATTAGACTTTGAAGTAGATCATTTTTAAATTGCACGAATTTTGATCCGGACACCTCCGATCGATGTCTGTCCGCATTCGTCGACGATCCACGTAAGTACGTTAATTTGTCATTTTCCCACAATTTGTCAAATCTAGCAGTTTGACTTTCGCATGAGCATGGCAAGTTTCCAGACAGTTGTTTGTTGGACACGTAGAAGCAGAATTTAGATGACGCTTACTCTCATCAACGCGGTCGATCGTCTCAAAAGCGATCAAGACCAAAGACAAAAAAAAAGTTTTTGAACTTCTTCGTCCAACCTCAGGAGATGCGATTTCGTTTTAATTCTCTTGCCTACTTCTCCGCAATTCCCTTTCCGACCCCCCTCATGCGCTTTCGCGACGAGAAACACCCCCCCCCCCCTCGTTCCCTCATGATCATTTTCATGAAAAATCTACGGAGATTTTTATAGAAACGTTGCGTTTTGCAACAGATTGCGGAAAACGCAATTTTTTTGTACGACTTATGTCAAATCGATCGTTGTGCGATCAGAGGCATTTGGAGTCATAGGTGTCATATCATTTTTAGCGTGGAGAGATAGCCTGTTCGTTTCAGGAACACATAAATGTCACTCGACCGAGTGAGTTTTCCCGATAAAAAGGGATCGAAATGTAATAAATTGCATGAGAAGAAGCTAAACATTTTCGTTTGTGGCGTAGCGGAGGAGTTTATGAGCCAGCTGATGCCGATATTTGAGAATGTGAGGCAAAAGGAGGACCTCCCGTGCTCGTATCCCCTACACATGCACGCCCCCTCTTATCATTGGGTAAATAACGAAATTTTTTCTATTGCCGTTTTTTTTCGTGTTGTCTTGTGCATTGACGAACACACACACACACACACATACACACACTTGAGTTTGGGTTTTTGAGTGCAGCCACGATACTTTTGACACCTTTCGTGACTCGAGTCGGATCAACGGTGTGTGTTATTTTTTTTTTTGTAGACTATCATTGTACCTCTGCTTTCTCTCTTTCGCTGGTTATGTGTATAGAAATTTCGATTGAACGTGATTTATTTTAATTATGCATAATCGCCGGAAACATTTGTTTTTGTTTTCAATGATTTCAAATAACATCATAACGAGCGATTATTCATAATCTCCGAATTTTGCAAGAGCTTCTGATTACAATCAAGGTGATGTGTGTTTGAATGCATGTTAAAATTTAAAAACCGCGTCACAAATTTGAGAATAAGCAAGCAAGCGGTGAAAATGAATGAACTAAGAAATAAGAGACACGCGTCCCAAATTTTGCGGAATGTAGCACTTCCCCGCGCCCTCTGCATCATTCATCACATTTTCGTCGTATTTGATTTTTTTTCTTTTTTTAGTTGATCGTCTGATTCTGATTTGATCAGAATTATTATTGGAGACGCCTCTGATTGTCTTGTCCCTGTCCCCTACCCTCGTTAGAGAATGACACAATCCATTTTTTGTGTCACACTCGTGTGTAAATTCTTTCTTCACTGATATCCGTCTCGTTTTTTTTTTGAATGTATTACAGTTGTAACATACAAAATTGTGTAAAATTTCGAATAACAAGCTCGCGCGAGAAAACAAACAACGTTTCACAAACTTAGTTTTCCGATTTTCGTAATTTTATTTTTTGTTCTTCTCCTCTTGTTATGTCGAGAAGGAGAGTTGCAGAAATTTTGTTCTGACGAAATAACAAAACTTAAATTTACAAATAAATTTGCAAGAATAAAAACGTTTCTTTTTTTTTTTACGTCCGTTGCAACAAAAAACGAATATCGGGGGATACGTAGTTAATTGTTGACTGAACATATGGAAATATGCATAACAAATTTCGTGTATACTGTATACTTGCTGCGTGCGTAGTGGCATTGATCGGAGATACCTCGAATCACCATAAACTACTGTATCTCTCCCAACTTCTTCTGGTAAGTTTGCATGGACACACTTTGCTTGACTTGTCGCTCGATTTTTTGGCTCGAATGGTAGCTGTTTTAATTTTATTATTCTTTGCGTTTTCAATCTCGATATTTCAATATTATATATATTTCGCGAACGCCTCCGATAAACACAAGGAACGCCGCAGACCGGCGTACACTTTCAGTAGTCTGTGCACAAAAGCGAATTGCTTCGTAATTAAAATCTATTTTGTTTTTTTACATCCAGTAGTTTTTTTTTCTAGTGTGTTTTAATTTCACTTAAATACACTGTTCGTGAAGAGATGAAGCTACAATAGTTGTTTAGATTAACGGCAGCAAAGATCCTCCTGCGTTCTTCAACAGCTTTGAGAAATATACTTGTCGAAAACACGTTTTTTCATGTTGCGCACAGCAAAAAATTTGGACTTTTTAATCATTAATTGTTGATTTATAGCGGCAGAGAACGCGTAACAAATTATTTCACTTTATAGTCAAACTGATAATTCGCTACGCGAATTAGCTGTAAACAATGGCTTCTTCTGTTTTCTCACAAAATTATTGTACGCGTGTATCTCATCAGTGAAACTCTCCCTTCGTCTAGGTAAGAGAACGCAGTGCTCGCAGCGTGCCCATGGGTCAATCCCGAGCTTCTCGTTCGTCCTTGAGCGCCGGCACACCCGATAGCCTTAGCGACAACGAAAGTTCCTTCAAGATATCCGCTAGGAAAACCAGCACGTCTTACAGATCTACCGTGACGCCTGGTAAATTGTCGTTTTAAGCCTCTGGAACTGTATTGCAATTAATGAAGACACTTGATTTTACAATTTATCGCGCTTCGATGTTTTGCAGGTGGTAGCCGTCCATCTAGCAGGCCAACCTCAAGACCTGCCTCCCGACCTGCTAGTAGACCGAGCAGCCGACCTGCCAGTAGACAAGGAAGTAAACCGCCTAGTCGGTACGGATCGACGCAGTCGTTGGATGGTACGAAAATTTAATAGTTTTATGACATATTTTTGATTTTCTTTTTTGGTGTCCATGATTATAAAGAGTTACAAATCTCTTTGCAGACGATTCGTGCACCCCGAGTCGCATTCCGCGAAGAACCGTCTTGACTGGCTCCGGCAATACTCCGACGTCGAGTAGACACAACAGTATATCCGGTAGGAAACTCACAACTCCGATGAACGGTTCGAGTTCCCGGCCGCGCACTCCGACAGGTTTGATCAGTCCTGCAAGCGGAGTGCCATCTAGGTTTGTAGTCTTTGATATTCCCGCTGAAACACCTTGAAAATAAATCATCAAACTAACTCGCATTAGTGTGCCTCTACATAGAAATACGCATAACCAATTACACATAATTGTATAACGTGTGCATAAATTAACGACAATCAAGTGGTAGTATTCTAAACTGAAACTTTACATCAAACCGATTGCAATGGTTCGAAGAATGATATGTTTCTTTCTCTGAAGGAATCGATGAGCTCTTTTTTATTTCTTTGTTTATCGAATGAGTTTTGCCCTTCTTGTTTTGAATTTTCGATTTTTTTCTGTTTTTTTTTTAATTTTACGATTTTACTACATACATTTGACACGCATCACGTAAAATATACCGTCATGATAAAGAATGTACAACAGAATTTATAACGCGATACACATATCGATTGATCGAACCTACAGTTATACATCTCGCGTTAACCGCAAAACATTTTTACGCGACTAATCTCGATCGATTATAATTTTAATAATCATTAACAGATCTGGTTAACAACATTTTTTAGGTTTGGCTCAATCCATAGAGCTTCGAGCATTCCAACCCTGACTGGTGTCGGAACACCTATCAGGTAAAGCAGATTAACGAATTGGCAACTTCAAGTAAAAAAAAAAAAAAACTGGTTCAGGGAAGCAATTCGGCTTTTATTCTGCGTTTTGCATTCTATACTTGCTATTTCACTTTGTAACGATAATAAAAATTTGCAGTAAGACATAAAATGCAAAGCGCGAAATAGAATCTTGTATGGTGTTTTGTGGTTTAGGGCAGATCCTTCCAACCTCGCGCACGGCGTGCAGTTTACGCCATAAGATTTCTATGCAGTCACGCGATCGGTTAGAAGGCTCTGGTTTAGGGCAATAGCTTAATTAAAAAAAAAAAAAAAGAAAAAAAATGATGGTTTTGGTCGTGGTGACGGTGATATATTGAGTTTTTTTTATTCATCTTTGTTTTCTTTTTTAACTTTATTTTTCTTTTAACTTTATTATTTGTTTTATTTTACCTTTCACAAGGCTTCTGTTTCGTTGGCTCCCTTTTCCGTTCTCTGTAATTTTCGTATCTCATTTTCACTATACGAAATTTCATTGTCATACACTCACACACGTACGTATACTCGTGAAATATATTGGGCAATAACATGATGGTAATGCCTTAGCCGCTCTAGGATACCCGTGTATGTGGGAGTGGATATTAAATCTCCTCAGTCGACCACCAGCAATATGTCGACACACTCAACACATAGCAACCATTCTACAATTTCTACTGATTCTGGGTATGGCTGAACTCTTGGGCTTTTACATGTTTTAACTTGTTTTCTTTTTCTTCTCACGTTCTCAATATAATTTTTCACGTATTGCATTTTTCATCTCTTACTTGATATTGTTATTCAAGACACCATTTTTGTGTTTTGCTTTTACACCCATTTCACGCTAACACCTGAGTTTCGCAGTCGTCATCGCATGGCTCTCGTTTTTTATTTTTCTTTAATTGAAGTTCGGCTTTTTGCATCATCTCACAATCAATCTTTTTTGTTTTCTCTTCTCTAACCGGTATAATTCTGTCAAGCAACATTGGTACTTGTATGTGTTAGCTAATGGGTCGTGACGTTCTTTTACAAGTGTTTGTGTGATTGTGAGCATTTTACATTTTTCAACGTCAACTAACAAAAGATTTGTTTCACAATGCCAGGAGCAGTTCCGTGTGCACGAACTCTGCAACTAACATACCAACAGCTGTTAAGCAAGCTAGGTAAACATCATTTTTAATTATTATTTTCGTTTCTTTTTGTTCTTCGCTGAAAATCTTGTCCAAGAAGAAGGTGTCGATGTGTTTGCATTTTGAGCGGCTTCGTCGGCGTTGAAAGGAGACGTGTCGCATAGACATTGCGTTTGCACGCACGGTGGTTGTTTGTTTCAGGGTACGCACGCCGTCCAGTGGATCCAGCACACCGCTACCGCCGTCTTCGAAATTATCGAGAAAACCCTCCGGAGCTTCTGACACATCGGTATCGGGAACGACCCCAAACACACGGAAGGGAAAACCCACGCCGATCGAACAACGCGCGCCGTTCCGATTGTAATAGCTTTATTAACGAAAAAAAAAAAACCATGATAGCTTGTGCAAGAAACCCGCATATATTATGCCTGAAACGAGAATAAATGCAAAACATCCCCTTCAAGCGCACTTTTTCAAGTTATAGCCGCTATGGTGTTACAGGGAACATATACCGAATAGTGTTATTGTTATTATAGTGCGTGCTGAGAGAGAAATGCGCGAGAACGCTGAGAGAAATTCTCTGGAAATCTGAAAATTTCGCAGAAAAAAGGCAGATGACGAAAATCAATTAAATTTTATAATATTATTTGTTTGTAATATTGTTCATTTTACTTCGAGTTTCACACCGAGTACCGATGCCATTAACACAGTTCACTGATGAGTATTCGATGCTCATTTTTTTTTTTTTTTAGAGTAAGGAATTATAGAGAAAAAGAGGATGGGGAAGTTTATTTATTTCGTGCTCGCGTTAGAAAGTGCTTAAAGCGCGTCTATAGTTTATATAATATAACATGCCAGCGAGGAGAATAAATTATTGTTATAAAATACTTTAACCGTGGGCGTTACCGCGAATATGCGCGGTAATGCTCTATAACTGAAAATATTTAGGCGAGATACGTGTGACGATATCTGCCATTTCTCGATAAGGACAATACTAAAACAAAAAAAAAACTAGCATATAAAAAAATCAGCGTTTACATGTATACTATAATTACGCTTACGTTTGAAGTTCATATAATTAGAAATGCCTGTAATTACTTTTCAAAATAATAATTTAGCATGTAATATTTTTTTTTTTTGCTCATTTTGTCAAACAAAAACGCACGCATGTATTTTTTGCGTGTGTCGTAAACACACGTCGCGCGTAAAAACGACGAGACGTTAAAAATTCGTCGAGGGTTTTCTCGATGATGAAACGAAATATTTGAGAATCTAAATATCTGAGCAAATTTGTATACTCGGAGACATTAATTTATTTAATACTTTTTGCTTTGACGTACATATTAGTTTATTATGTAATACATACGTCGTGTATTGTGTAATACACAACGTAAAATAACGTCTAACGCATTTGTTTGAAAACACAGAGAAACATTTTTGTATGTGTGCGTTGTTACATGTATGTATAATGATATGATCACAATTTTGTTAATCCGTTTTGCAAATTGCGCCGTACGTTTCCTCTATGACAGAAAAAAAATCATAGATATACTTTTTTTTTCTTTTTTTTTTTTTTATTTATATTGTACATGCGATCACATAATAGAGATCAACTATTGTATTTGTGTGCGAGGCGTGAATATTGATCGTAAATTTGATTGTTTAAAAGAAAGATATATATATTTCTTTAAGAAATATTTTGACGTATTTATATATATACATAAATATATATAAATATGATAATTATATATATATATATATATGATATTGTGCGAAAAACAAAGTATCTCGCAGATTTGTGAAACGGTACGATAGTAATCAAACTTAGTTTACGATTACGCACAAATTTAACTCTCGAGCGGTTGCGGGTCAACAGTTCAATTTCGTAGGTGTTATTTCCGACGAAATAACATCTAGGAAATTCTCTCAAATAAATCTCTTGTCAATTGTCAGAAAATTTGTGTTAGTTTAATTAGAAATTATTAAGAAGAATTATATAGCCAAGATATATATATATATACACACACATATATATAAAGTAAATATCGAAAGAAAGGCTGAATGACACGTGTCCGCTTCGGAGGTCGATTTTCACTTTTGTTACGCTTCTAATCGCATCGATTAATAATTTATACTCGAGGTAAATAAATGATTTATATAATTATATACAATTTAATTTATATCATACTTGTGTAATTTTATGACGCTATATAAGTTAAATTTTATATAATTATATATTAACAATTATTAATTACATGTATAAGGCGATTAACGAGAGATTTAAGAGGAAACACACCTAACAGTGTTGAAAAAAAAAAAAAAAAAAAAACACTCAGAGAGAAAATCGTGTGTGTGTGCGTGTGTGTGTGTATATGCGTGTGTGTGAATAGCTAAGTATAAAAAACTTAATTCCTTTGCGCGAAAGAGTGGCCTGTTATAGGTGACGGGTAGAGAAACTCTATGAAAAAGACATTTCCATTTTTTTTTTCTTTTTTTTTCTTTTTTTTTACATAAATATACTTTTAGACGCGATTAAAATGTAACGAGAACATACGACCCGCGCGCGCGCGAGCGAGCGCGCTGCCTCTTTATAAATATTACGTAATGCGATTAATCTTATTAACAACTTCTCCCGATACACGAGAGAAAGTTTTGTTTCTTTTTCACTTACCGAGAGAAGTATTGTGTATTGATGCTAATATTAATAATAATGCAGTGATGAAAAAAAAAGTAACACAAATACATACGCACACGCGTAATATTTCAGTGAAACACACTTTCGACCTGACTTTCTTTTCTATTTTTTTTTTTTATCTCCCAAGCGAGCACTGCCACGGTCTACGCGACTGTGTAAAGAGAACAAAATGTTTTTTCTATATTTCTCGCGTTAATTGGCGCGCATATGTAGTTTTTTTGTGTTTTTTTTCCTACTTCCTAATTCGAGAGATCCGCTGGGAAGATGCGATTTTTGTCGCACCGCGGTCGATTCTGCTGTTTGCTTGCACACGTCCTCATTTCCGCGACTTACGTTTTGAGAAATTTTAGCGTAGCCCTGCATATAGCGTGAAGATCTCGCGAGATGGGTTTTCTCGGTGTAACACACGCCAACTCGCCGATCCTCCAGTGTTCACTGACAGACGCGATATAGTGTATCAAGCGGATACTGTTTTGGAGGATTTCGATTGGAAGAGGCCCCCGCTTGTGCGGGCTCCGCTGATAAAGCTTATCGAGTATATATACATCTCTCCCTTCGCGATGTGCTGACACCACGCACGGCTCTTGCAGATTATCGTAATTTTGTACGAGGGTAACACCACACCCTAGGTCTAAACGAGTTTCTTAGTGCAGTTTTTTCTTACAACGCTCCGGATCTGCGCACGCCGTTCGCGACTTTTCGAAGTTCGTTTTTTTTTTGCTACAAGTCGAACAAAAAAGACACGAATATATATATATAATATACGGCGGTATGTGTGTAAAACGTGTGGAGTTCACTCCGTCAAAGGATGTGTAAAGTATTAAAATGGTGTTTCTCTACTATATAGTTGCAATGTTTTTTTTATTTCTACATTTTCCTGCCAATTTTCCTCATATTTCCACGAAACGCGAAACCTTTAACGATGGATCCGCCACTTCAGGTGAGTCGTCGAGCGCTCAGACACTCAATATGCGCGCGTGTACCCGACTGTATGCGCGCACACACGCGCGTGGATTAACGCAGGTAGAATTACCAGCTCACACGACTCCTCAGGTGAATCCTCGAATTACTTACCAGACTCACTTGACCTATATAGGAAGCCAGACGCGTATACCGGCGTTTAGTCAAAAGTGTATCCGACCCTCGGCTTTCTAAGGACGAGATTTTCTTACCCAATGTGTGTGTCGCAATGATATCGATTATTAACTTACATCGTTTGCTGAATAATAGGATCGCACTCGTGCCGGACCACCTTGGAACCGATGTATTGGGTTACAGGTCAGCGAGGTGGTATCGAGCAGCAACCTCGCGGTCGTGCGATGCGAAATAAAAATTTGTTGCGCGAGAGATGAGATAAATTTTTATTTTTCGCAAATGACTTTCACAACAAAGAGATTTTAATTTCTTCGGAGAAAAAAAAACACGAGTATTGATAAAAATTCCAAAATTTTTTGACAAAGATGATCAATACGAGTATTTTTTACGGAAATATTTTTTACAATTTTGTTAATTCTTGGTTTTTGTTTGAACAATAAAAATTTGTTTGAGTATCGTCGTGAAACAAAAACAAAAAACAAAAAAAAAAAAAACAACGGAAGGACGTTTTTGAGCATGTTGCGTTTTATCACGCGACGCACAAAGTATTTATTTAATTGCTCTCTTTTGCGAGTTTTCGTTATTTCGTTAGATAACAAGAATTAATTACCTATCCTTTGATATGACGTCGCGCGCTACAAAAGACAAATAATGCCACACAAAGATTTTCCCTCGGTCAACAAAAAAGTTTCATATTCGGATTTAATTTTACCGGGGAAATATTAACTCTCTTTCCTCGCGAAAGAATTTTAAATTGAACAGAAAGCGCGTGCGGTTTTTTTTCTTTTATCGTCTTTTTTAATCAGAGATATTTATACACTTGAGTTCACATGACGCTGTTGGAATTTTCATCGGTATGTAATATCGCGCGCGAAATATATACGCGCGGTCCGCTTCGGCCGTACGTGCGCGTTACACTTTATCTATAATCCGCATAGTAATGCGCACCACACATACTGACCCCGAACGAGGTGGGGCGGAAGATATTGAGATGCAACACCTATCTCGTCCGATACGGGCGGGGGTGACTGGTCGAGAACTGAATTAGGTATAAAATCTAGACTCTCGAAGTCGAAAGCACGCAGTCACTCGACGAGTTCCGAAGACATCAACGGGGGTATCATCGTCATGTCTTACAAAGTAACGTCACCATCATTATATCTTGCCGCTTGTATCGCTGCTAATTTTTTTTTTTTTTTCATTTACATAAAATTTTATACCACGCTGAGAATTTTGACTCTCTAATTTTTTTTAATACACAACGTAGTTCGGGAGTTCACTTTGAACACTTGCGCAGCTTGAATTTTGGGAAAGATTTTGCGATAAAAAAAAATGTTTTTTTATTTCACACTTTCACTCGTCAAAGTATTTCAGTAAATCGCACAGATACCGATATTTCTTTACTGATGCGCAGATTATCGGCTATTTCGCCGCTTTATTGGCTGTCGCTCGTGCCGGGATCATTGGTCCAGGTGCAGCTGCAGTAGCCGTCGCGCAACAGCCAGCTGCGACGGTCATCAGAACCGAAAACCTTGACGCACATCCGCGGTACAGCTTCGGTTATAGCGTGGCAGATGGTCTCACCGGTACGTTTCTAATAATTCGTCAATTTCTTATCTCTTCGTTTTGTCCGAACACGATCTGAAGCGGTGATTTTTTAAGCGGAGTTTTACCGATTGAAAATTGATTGAAACTTCACTAGATTTTTTTTTTTTCTGGGAGTTAAGTGTGTACCGAAACAAATAATGTATTCCGATGTATTTCTCTCGGCAAAACGAGCACTTCTCTGGATTTGAGAAGAACTTCTCACACAATTACGAGAAAATTAAGTCGGAACGTTTTCCCAAATTCGCTGAGTGAATTCCTGTCGATATCTCTTAATTCGCGGCTGTTCGCGTTGAATCTGTCTATCCGGAGGTTCTATCGAATTAGAATTCAGGAAACTTCGCGCGGAAACTTAAATTAAAACATCGTTGAGACAATGAATGGAAAGTGGAAACGTCTCTTCTTCTCTTTTCGCGAGATAAGTTTTCGCTCGAGTATTATAAACACGGACTTTTCAAGGCGACAACAAGGCGCAGGAAGAAACTCGCAACGGCGACGTAGTTCAGGGAAGTTACAGCTTAATCGAGCCCGACGGTTCCCGGCGCGTCGTCTCTTACGCGGCCGATCCCATCAACGGTTTTAACGCGGTCGTACAACGGGACCCAAGCATCACGCTCAGGACCGCCGCTGTCGCAGCTGCACCGATCGCTGCTGCAGCGGCGGTACGTCCCGTCGTAGCGCCGGCGTCCCTCATCACCGCAGCTGCGCCAGCCGTCGTTGCGGTTCGCCCGCAGGTTGGTAATCCAGTTACTTTTCAAGCGCTTTTTCCTCCGGTCCACCAGTCTCCGGAGAGATCAGTCGCGAGAGTCTTTACTCAATCGTCTTCTCTCTCTCTCTCTCTTTCTCTCTCACGAGTTGATTTTTTCCGGTTAAAAGAAATTGTCAAAGAAAGTCCAATACTGAAAGACCCTGCATATTAAATTTAAAACGGGAAATTGGCTCAAAACTTGTTTCTCTTAATTATATATTGCGCACATATACATAATAATAATAATAATAATTTAAGTAATATTTGACTTAACGTAATTGAATTTATAGGCCATCTTGAGTGTTCCCTTGGTGAGGCAGCCGATCCACGCCCCGGGATCCACGGTGGCTGCCACGAACGTCGTAGCCGCGAATTCGGGCCTGATAGGTCTGCGACTGGGCGTTAGATCGGGATCAGTCTATGGCACACATGCCGTCGTCGCGGATGGTTACGGCAGCGGCAGCGTTGTGAAAATTCACTAGCAAGCAGCAACTAGCGGCGTTAAATAAATAAATTGGTCTCGCTCACGATTTTCGCTCATGCTATTCCGCTTCTTCTCTCGCGAGACGTTCTCGTCGAGACTACGCGCGCTCTCGACGAAAATACATATCCAGACAAGAACACGTCTCTAACGACCAAAAAACGTCTTACTGTTCCTTCGAACATCTTTAAGATGATCCTTTGGCCTCTCCGCGCTGTGTCCACGTATTTTCTCGCACATCCTTCTCGCAACCAGACGTTCAAACGAAATACAACATGAGATACGAATTGAGAGACATCGCATTGTGTCTATTTACGTATGTTGTAAAATAAATACAAAACTATGAGATGTATGTACTATCATCATTTGAAATAAAGGTCTTCGGTGTGAGGATAATACCGTGTTCAAAGTTACGACTAATAAAGTTCCCGCGCACGGAGAACAACATACCGCTTAATTCAGAACCTCCATTAGATGTTCATTAGATATTACACGGAGTTGCGCGGTCGTCGGTAGACGTTCTAATGGACGTTATTGTCCGTGTGGGTTCGAGCACAAAGTGGGGGGACACTTTAAACGCGACGCACGTGTGTGTGTGGAAACGCGCGGGTGGAGATGCGGGATTTCCGGGAGTGAGAGACACACACGCAAAATGGACAACGTTCGCGGGAAGAGCCCCGCGTCTCGAGTGATCGATGAATGACGGCCTGACGAGTCGAAATGGAGTTGACACCGACGAGAGAGAATGCGAGGTGGTGGGCTTAGGAGAGAAATCACCGTTAATGGCGCGACCGGAAGATTTTCCGGACAATCCAACGTTGAGTTTTTTACTCGCGGACGAGTCGAGATTCTCGGCTTTTCAACGTGGTGCGGCCAGCTCTTATATATTTGCTTTTTTCTTCCGTCATCCATCTTTCGTCGTCGTTGTCGTCGTCGTTGTCGGCAGCGTTTACGCGTCCATCATCTCTAAGCCCGGGGGTTCCGCGGGTTTCGTCTAGGGGTTAAGCGATTGTTTTTTTTTTTTTTTTTTTTTTACCGTTAAATCCGCACTTTAGCGTTCGCCCGATCTCCTCTCCTGAAATCGACGCAACGATGATAAATCAGTCAACAAAGTCCGATGACTTGCAATTGACAGCTTTCTTCATTACAAAATGTGTATCGCGCTGGTAAAAAAGTTCTTTTTTCTTCGTCGCTCTCTTGATGAAAGAGCCATTGGAAGCTTATTTTGAAGAGAGAAACCATAAGTTTGCGTATGAAATTTTTTGTTTTTCTAGACACATTCACAAATGCGATATACGGTTGCGTAGTGGTAGATACGTACTCGTGTGTGCGTGGAAACTTGGAACTCTCGCTCGAGTCTTTCGAGAGAGAAAGAGAGAGAGAGAGAGAGAGAGAGAGAGAGAGAGAGAGAGAGTGAGCGCAGCGTGTTCCGCACGTGAGAATGTAACACCGTATAATATATTCTATTGAGGGTGATGGAACTCGGGGGTTTATATTCTATCAACATGAATCGCGTCAATGTAATTTCCAATATCGCGCAATGCTATCCGGCAGAGCTTAAACATGCGCATGGCAATTTAGGCGTATAGCACGCGCAATACCTCAACCGCGATACGAAGGGTGCATCAAGCACGAAGTCATACACAAGTAAATATGTACAGACTGATGTAGAGGCAGAACTAACAAGCGCTATCGATTAGTCCTGGGCGCGTCTTCATACACGTTCGCAACCGCTCACCGTCGTTTTCGCGCGATTCGAAATTAAATTTTCTCAGACGCCGAATTGAAAAATCAAGTTGAAGTTTCTTTTTAGAAATCATCTTTTTCAGAGACGTTATTTTATATTGTTTTTGTTTTGAGATATAAGCAGAGCGCGTTCGAAGTAGTCGTTCGAAGACTCGCTTTTGTTAATCAGACAAACGAGCGCGTATCTGCGGGTGACGAAAATTTTGAACGACGCAATTTTACATTCGCAAAGAATACAAATTTCTTGCCGTCGCGTGATTTATATTCGTCATTTTTATTTTTTGCGCGAAAATTTTTATTTAAATCAAAATCTCTTCTCTCGCGTGAAATTAACGTGAAAATCCACAAACTTTTCCAAAATCGTTCGATAACAGCTTCGTTTCGTTAGTTTCGCATCTGTGTGTTGTAATTGCCGCTAATTCGCAAGATTTTCGGAACACGCTGGTGCGTTTCCACTTTGTCGACCGCGTGGCATATTCCCGAGCGAATCTTTGGGGGTTGGCGAAAGTTGCTCAAGTTGCTCAAGTGTTTCGGTTTCTGCGAAATCTCGAAAACTTCCCTCTCGCGGAAACTTCCGGTTATTATTCGCCAAAAGAGGAGGCTCGACAAGCACACCACGACGAAAGTTTTAGTCAGAACGAGTAGATGCATATATATATATATATATATTTTCCCGCTTGTACATATTCGAGCCACAACTGTGTGTGTCTCGGCTATTTCTCGTATATAATAAAGCCGCGACACACTTGATTAGTAAATTCGGCGCGGTCGGAAAGACAGAGGGGGCGGATTAGAGGGACGGGGGAGGTGATAAACGAAGAGGCAACGGTAATGGCGCGCAGATTGCGAACACGATGGGCAAAGGTGAGGGTGCACTCGACTCGGTTGGCTCGGCTTTTAAACGATGGGAAGGATACAATATTTCAGAGTGGCGACAAGGAGCAAGCCTGCTCGCCACTGGCAAATTAATTAAATTCCTACAAGCTGCCTGGAAAGGCTAAGGGGCAAGACGGTAGCGGGAAGGGGTGGCGGCGCGAAAGGGGCGCGCGGTGGTCGGCGAAGCGCGGGCGAAGGTCCCGTATTCCCGCCCGTGGGAATATTGTAATTAAGATATGCACTTCCACCCTCCATTTTCCTCGCGCAACCCCCCGCAAACCTTCCGCTCCAAAGTGGAAGAGTTACGCGCCATGATTTACGCTTCGCAGGACACGCGCGCGGCGGTAGTGTCTGTTTTGACCGCGTCTAAATTGCATCCTATTATGTCGAGACTACGCGGCCGGCCGGCCGGCCGATGTTTCTTCCGCGGCTCGCCGAATCTTGAGAGTTATTGTGCCATAATAATGGAATTCCAGGCTTGACGCGCGCGTTCCAGCAGAGAGAGAGAGAGAGAGAGAGAGAGAAAGAGAGAGAGAGAGTCGAATGAACCGCACGTGACCGTGCGGTTTTCGTTGCACGACGCACGTGTGGGACGTATCGATCGACATCGTGGCTCAGAGCGCGTACATTTAATTACGTTGAAGCGCACAAACTATAATTATAGTAATTTATATTCGCTTGTATGACGATGCGATAAAAATGTCGCGATCGGTAGTTGTTCGCGCTTGGTGATCGATTCGCGACGACGATCTCGTCGCACTTCACCGCGTGTCGAGAATTCAGTTATGTCACAATTTTTCAATCATGATCCGCATTGCAACAATCAAAATTGATAAAACCGATGACGGGCGTGCGGCACGAATCGATCGCGCGCGATTGATCAAGATGGTCTGGTAAACGCAAAGCTTCCCCCGTCTTTTCGCCGTTTCCTTTTAACTTTTAGGACTTAAAACACAGGACAACACACGCTGCAGCGATCACAATGGAAAGCATTCTCGCTACAATTTTCGGCCTGATCGTGATGTTACCGCTGCTCGTGTTACAACTCCAACAGACGCTTGTCGTACGTGATCAAGATTAATTGATCGTAAATTGCGAAACCTACGAATTGTTTTCGTCCTAAGGGCAAGTAATGATTTATTGCGGATGGGGATGTAGGTTAAATGCCGTAGAAAACAAATCCTCTTCTCGCGCGCGTAAGAGAACACAATGTGCCAAAAAGTGGAAAGAGAGAGAGAGAGATCCAGTTGAAAAGAGCGTTACGCGCATTAATCACTTTTGCCGTGTCTTTCATAATATTGAAGTTAAAGAGTAAGAGCCGCGGTGTTCTCTCTCTCTCTCTCTTGTTTTTTTTTGTTTTGTTCCGCTCTTGCTCGTGTGTCTGAAAAAAAAAACAGCTCGTGACGTTTATTTATTGCAAGTACTCGTCTCGATATCACGCGTGATGAGGTAACCTTGAGTCCGAGTGATTGGCACCTCGAAGACCTGTCAATTTTATTTAGTTTCCGTTTTAAGAGTAGCAAAGAACAATATTGCCGTAAAAAAATTCAAATTAATTCTAACGGTAATGTCGAGCGACCGTAGACGAAAATGTTAGCATCTAGAAAAAAAAAAAAATCACTAAGTGAAAAATCAATAAATATTACTAGAGGGATGCCGGAAGTTCGTGCATTAAACATGTGGAATTTGCAGCTGCATCCTCCCCGAAAGTTGCTCGCTTCGCTTCGGTGCTACGTGACAAAGAGCGCGCGCGACGTTAGATGCGGCAAGCGCAACCTAGTGCAGCACTACCCCAAGCTGCCGGATCTGTTAAATTCCAATTCCGAGTCCAGGATGGTGGTGTGCTCGGCGCGGAGCGTTCTCTCGTCACCTGCCGTGCCACATGTCGCTTCCGGCCGGTACCAGCTCGTTAGGAGAACGATCCCGTTGGCGCGGCACTCGTCCTCCTACGTGGCGACGCAGATCGTGCTCCCGGTGGTGGACATCACCTGCAACTACAACTCTTACCGTTACGCGACCTTCGAGGAGAGCCTGAGGAAGCGATACGGCGCGAACTATCCTCCGGGCGAGGTGGTGCTGAATTACATTCACTTAAACACGCCGGACTCGAGGACCGGGATCGATAACGTCAGCGACGATCTTCTGGACGCTTTCGTCGACGACAACGTCGTCGCCTACTCGTCCGTGTCGACGAAGCTGGAAGCCGAATATCTGAATCTTCTGGATCACTTCGTATTGAAGCAACGAGGAAAAACCCTGACCGCGGTCAAGTTTACCGAGACGCTGCCGTCCGATGAAAGAAACCTCGAAATGTCGTCTCACGCCGGCACGTGGAGCCAATCAACTCTGAGAAGTTCGGTCACTCAGGAGAAGTCGGAATCCAGATCAACGTCCGGCAATCAACGTTCTTTAAAGAGTGCGAGAAATACCACGTGCGTTTTCGATAGATCGACACCCGGTCGCGACATGTTTCTCCAGATAGTGTTTTTGATCATCAAAATCCCGTTTGTTTATAAACAAATATTCGCGCGAAATTTGTTTCGCGAACCTTTTGAAACGCCAACGTGGTGTAACACGATGCGATACGCGCGTTTGTTATTCATCGATCGATAGACCGTCCTGCTGCTTAAGATGCGGCAGAACGGCACGAATATAAAGCGAGCTTATCTTTGCTTCATAGTTCGACGAGCCCAGTTTGTACGCGATCACGATAAACCGATTTCGCTTTAATAATCGCGTAATACACAACGCGCGGTCCGGCGCCGAATATTGTCCGACACGCGTCGGGCGCTATTTCTCCGTCGCGCCGCGCCTTACATTCCCGTCATTACCGCCGCGGCGCGTCAAACCCTCGTTGTCGCCTGAATGCTAATAGACGGGCACGTATAGCGCGCGCGTTCGCCTCCCCCGTCATTCGAGGAATCATCATCGTCCCCATCGGGTTCTGAATAGGAATCGGTAATGGATATAGGAGGACCGACGACCGCCTCCCCCCTGTAGCTCTCTAGGAATCGCGTCTATTTATTGATCGTCTTGCTGCATCGGAATATTCAATCCCTCTCTCAGGATTGCTATCTGCGGCAGCGAGACGCGCGTCTCTTTCGCATCGTCCGCCCTTTCTCTCTCTTTCTGTCTCTCTCTCTTTCTTCAACGCGCGATTCTTCCGCCAAAACGACTTTATCTCTTACGACTTAAGTAGCCTTTGATGTAACTTTACTTATTAATCGCTTTACCCTGATCGAATCGCTCGATACGTTTTTTACGAAACATCGCTGCGCTTTGGTTTATTAACGCACCTCCCCCCCCCAACTTGACTGATCAAAAATGCAGTCCGATCGTTTGAGAAAATATATAAAGAATATAACGTGATAATGGAAATGCGATATCTATATACGTAACGAAGATATCGAAGAGACACAAAAAAGTTTTTATATCTCGTTGCAATATTCACTCGCCATTGTGCGATTCCGTAGCATATTGATGTTCTCGTGATTACTGCCACGTGCTGAACACGCGAGAGGATAATGAACCTAAACCTGTCCTAGGTATTGAATGCTGCAGCGGCGCAAACAGACGTCCCAACAGCTCGCAGAGAACGCTCGGACGACGGTGAGAAGCGTTCGATATCGTCGGATGTACGGTAATCCCATCTCGTAAGCGCGGCCAGCTGCTGTTCGTTGTGAGATCAGAGGAAAACACGCGGGACTGGTAGGTTTTAGCGGCGAGAAGATAAAAAAAAAAGAAAAAAAAAAAAAAAAAAAAGTACAGCAATTCTGGTTCTCAGGAAATTTCAGGCCGAGGGAAGCTCTGGAGCTAGGCGGTGGTCTGTACGTGTGGAAGGAACGTGGTCAGCGGCCGAACGTGAAGCGCAGGAATGAGACTTCCGAGGAGGATCAGAACACAAGGAAGGGAAGAAAATTTTGAGATATATAGTAAGATCTACTCTTCGTCGAACGTCGTCGATGTAACTCGAGATTTGCTTAGCGTTCTCTCTCTCTCTCTCTCCGCGGCAGTTCGCCGTGTCGGAATTCGATTAAAACGGAGAATAATTAACTAATCTTGCGAGAGAGGACTTTGATTGGAGAGAAACTCTTGGCGCGGCGCTTTTGACTCGGAGACAGACATTGATCGTCGGGATAATTTCCTGCGACGGCTAATGGATCGATTCTCTCCGGTTCTGATACGCCGATTTGGTTTCGGGCGTTTTGTTCTTTAATCGCACTTTAGCGCTCACTCGGTGTTCGATATGTCGACAATGACACGTCTTTGCCTATACAATCAAAAAATGTTATTTGAGAAGTTTCTTAAGAAAAAAAATCACTTGTGTCGCGCGCTCCATAAGCGACAAAGAAATTTTCTCACATTCAACAATAAACACTGACATTTTTTTATTGGCAAACGATGAAAAAAAAAAGTAATAATAATATAGTAAAAATACAACTCTCGAACGATATAACGTGCGGCGAGCATCTCGAGTGCCGCTCGAATTCGACGTGAAACGAGGTCTGATCGGATTCCTGGACAAAAAGGGGAAGACTCGGGGAAAACATGCAGCAGCCGACAATAGGATTCCGCGACAAGTCGATTTGTCGTAGAGTCAAGTTCGCCGACACGTCATTTGTCGCCGCTACACACTCTTGACACCCTCTCTCACACAATTTCTCTGTCTCTCTCTCTCTCTCTCTCTCTCTCTCTCTCTCGCTCTCGCTCTCTCGTTTTCTGGCAATGTCCATCGGCGACACTCGAGCGATTCAATCGTTTCGAAAGGGATTTTCCCATGATGGAACGGTAATAACGTGAATCGGTAATCCGAGGCTTCATCTCGCGTTCGCGTATGCAAAATATCTTCTTCTTCGAAGTAAAATATTTTTCGTGTTGTATACATATATGCTTTGCAACGCGTTATAGACACGTTCTTAAGTCTCTTGTAACACATGCGTGTTAGAAAAAAGTGACTGAAATTTTTCAGATGGTACAAAAAACAAACGTTCGAAGAAATTAGTAGTTGAAAAATGACAGCTCGCGCGTTATGTGTTATTTGCATTGTGAGTTTTAATGGTATATTTCCGCGCGTTGTATAGAATTTCGCAAAAAATATGATCTCTCACAAATCACAATGTATATGTATATATATATATATATCTGCTCTTTATTGTATGTATCGGCGTATTTGCTGGAGATTTTTGGTTGATGACATATTGAACAAGCGCGCGGGTCAAACGGCGGTGGCGTGGAGTGTGGGCGAAAAGATCGATGGCTTCTTTAGAATCGAAAGAGAAGTCTATTGCTAGAGAGTGGCGCGTCAAATTGACTGAGGTCCCAGTCCACCATTTATACGCGTCGCCGACCTATCAGACACACAATCGGTACATAAAATCGGAGATGCAATTTAAAAAAACACACACACACAGACAATGTACTTACGTATCTTGTGTTTATTTTGTTATACGTATCGACCGCGTGTCACGAGCACGCGATGAGGTTTCGAAAATCAATTTTAATTCTGTAATGTCTTTTTGTTTGTTTGTTTTTTTTTTTTTTAATACAGAGATTATTTCTGCTGAAAAGTCAGAAATGAACGAAAACGATGATGAAATATTTCTAGCGACACACAAGAGCAAAACGACACAAGGGTCATCTGATGAGCAAAAAAAAAAAAAAAAAGGAAAACGACAGATCGTTTGCTCTTTTGAAGAATCGAAGGAAAATGTCAAATGCGCGAAAACGTTAAACTGACTGACTGCTTTTAGCTCCGACATTTATATTCATCGGTAACTTTGATTGTGCACCGTAGGAATTGAAAATGGTCTCTCCGAAACGAAGCAAGACGGCAGTAAAACTTCCACAGGGGACACTGTGGATGAGGCAGAGGGAGCGGAAGAGAAAGAGAAAAAGAGGGATGGACGAGTGGTAGTGGAAATAGGCAAATCCCATGGCACTCGATCCCGACTCTGGCAGCGGACTCTGCCAGACACCGGGGAGAGAAAGAGAGAGCCCGGGCCCCTGTTATACCGGAGCTTTTATTTCCGAAGCATCGATCTCCATAAAGTTGCTGCCGCAAAATGAGTTCCTGCGGTCTTCTTGGAGTTATCCTAAAGCGCTTTGCACCTGCCGAGATATATTCAAAGACTACGCGTGTGTGTGTGTGTGTGCGTGCGCGCGCGCGCGCAGTTGCATTCAATTAAAGAATACAACCCGGCCGTTTTAGAAGTCTGACGAACGGTCGTCGTAACTTGTTTGCAAAATGTGAAATCTCGTCGTTACAATCCAATTGACACGTATTTTTTTTAGCCAAGATTCAATAAAAATATAAATATTGCGCGATAAATAAATGTAATATTCCTGAGAATAATCTTGTTATCTGTTAAGATCGTCTTTTTAGATTGAAGACATGATTAGTAGACGCTCTCTATCTTAAGATATTCTCAAAATTGTGAGATTCGCGGTAAAATTAGATCGAGCGTAATTTTATAATAGACGGGAATAGAATCGAAGCTAACTGATAGTTCTCGTTTCCGTTTTGGGACTTCAAACATTTTCTCTCCGCTAAAAACTTCTATCTCAAACTTCTATCTCTTTAACTTCTATCAAATGTATTCTGCGCTAAATATAATTTTTCTTTAGCCGAAAAAATTTCCGAGAAGTTTGAAATTTTTTCTATTCTTACAAAAAAAAAAAACCACGCACTTTGCCGCTTCAGAGTTTGATCAAATAAAAAATTGATTTTTTTCTTTCATTACTACTTGCAGACGAAAGCGCGCTTATTAAATTTGCATGTTACACAAGATGTTGTTGAAAAATCTTTTTCTCCGAGGAAAGTTTCCTTCGATTTTTCTGAAGAAAATCTTTCTCCAGGTAGATAGTCTCAAGTGTACTCTCGTACGTTTCGTTCACACAATACGAGTGTACACCGTCCCTACAGTGCGTCTATAACAGACACAAGCCGCGCCAATATATCCCCCCAGATTCGTGACTGGAACTGTACGCAGCCGAGTAATTCGAAGGAACGCCGACTTTCATTCTCTTTTTCTCTTGCCGTAAGTACGTCCTGTTAACACAGTATTTACGAGTCGTTCGTCGTTTCCCTCGGGGCCAGTCAGCGCCAGCATCGGATACGTATTTTCCTTCTCGCGGTGCGAGAGTATCTCTCTCTTTCCTCTTTCCTTCCGGGCGCGGCACGTGCGCGTCGCTTTGCTCGTCAACCTCTGCGCGACTCCGTTGCTTCTGGCCCGTTCTTTTAATCTTCCTTGCTCGCTCCTCTTCTTCGAACAATTTATCGCGATTTGTCGAGGGGTTTCCCGATAGCGACTTTTAACACAGATCACGCCGATGTGACGTGTCAGCAAACAAGAAAAATCAAAGTGTATGACGGCACAAAAGAAGAAGAGTATAAAAATCTACTGCTGAAGCATCTATGACGTTTGAGCGTTTGAGAGGGCAAAGGAGGAAAGAGAGAAGGAATTTTTCATCAAATAATCAGACAAAGAGATAGCTCAGAAAATGGGACATTCTGCTCAATTCGATTCTATTTTATTACACTGCCCCCTGCCGCTCTCTCTCTCTCTCTCTCTCTCTCTCTCTCTCTCTCTCTCTCACATCTCCTTTTTGCCCTACGTGCACGTCAAGACGTGTACGTCGCAGAACACCGGTAATGCTGGTCGACGCTGGATACTTAGACTCTCGCAATTGCGGCGCAATGCACGTAGAGCGGATATCGTGGTAGAGGTAGTTCGTAGAACGCGCAAACACACAAACTCACAGCTGGGAAATTTCGCGCCGTCGCTGTTGTTGTCGCTGCTGAAGCGATAAAAGAGTGTCGTTCTGAAAAACGTATATAGAAACGCACGAGAAACGTTGTTTATTCCCTCAAATTCCGACTTTCTGGAGTTGTTGCTCCAATTGCGCACGCGCGATAAAATTTCGCGCTATTTTGAGCTAATGCTTCGCGCAGAGTTCAAGTGAAGTTTGTCGAGAACAAGTTCGAAGCGTGGAACAAAAATATTACACACACACACACACACACATAAATGTACTAAAAACACATCAGAGTAGAAAAATTTAATCGCGTCTCCTTGTGCAGCGAATTTTCGAAACGAAAGTGTAATGTAAACACTTATTTCACAGCATTTGTAGTGAAATATAGAACTTTAACAATTTAAGAAAGTAGTTTTTATTAAAGTAGACGATGCAATATTTTATCAAGTTTCAACAGATTACGGGTGTCAGATATTTTTTGCTTTTTGACAAATGTTTAATTCAGATCCGTATAATATTCCGAACGCTCGAAAATTGCGCGCGAAAATAGAGCGCGCGCGATATTGAAATGTTATGTAAAACTTACATCCACAGCGGAAAGACATTTTTGACAAATTGGAAAATTGAATTAAAATCGACTTTGAAAAGAGAGAGAGAGATAGAGAGAGAGAGATTTTCATACGGATAAAAGTTGCGTTATATACAAGCGCGCGAGCGCGCGCTGTGTGATGTCCCTGCAGAGCAACTACATTAATCCTTTACGCGAATGACTCTCTCAAGCTCGAGAGATACGCGTTTGTATACACACGGTTCTCGATTCCTTCGAGACATTTGTATTGCTTGGTCTGAGATTCACCGAGAGAAATCACAACGCGCACCGCATTTCAAATAAATGTAAACCCAGAGCGCGTCTCGCTCCAGCCACGAGATGCGGGAACGATATTATCGTTAAATGAACTAGACCAAATAATCTGTCGAACGCGCGCAATTCGTCTATTGTGGCAAATGGCGGAATTAATTTGCTTCGAAGAAACTTAGACAGAAACAAAAATAAATCAACGTCAGCCGATTACAAATTTTGTATGTAAAAATAAATGAAATATTATATAAGCAAAAAATTTTGTAAAATAAATAAAATTGTATACATGTTACCGACACGTGGATTATAGTTACGCGTGTATCGACATAAATAAATGACAAAAACAACATTCGTAAACAGATCGCACGCAATAAATTGTGTGGCGCGCAATCAGAGAAAACAGAATCTGAAAAAAAAAAAAAAAAAAAACCAATAAGTCAAACAGAATACAAGCGTATTCCGATTGATTGATGAGGGTTCTCTCGTTCGCGCGGCGTAGGAGAAATCTCCGAAATTTCACTCGGGGGCGCCGCTTAACTGGCTGTTACTCCTTGGGTCTTTGACAATCAAAACGAGACGGAAGGATAAGAAGAGAGGGCGGTTCGAGATCTCGCGAGATCGGAGTATAATAGCGTCGATGAGGTGGAAAGTAAGGGACTGTTCTTTCTCTTTCTCCTCCACGTAGAGCAACTTATCGGGTCGGGGAGCCGTTTAACGGTTCGTTACGAGAGAGCTCTTTCGCACTTTATCTCGTTTGAGTCTCTCCGACGTGAGCAGCGCGCAAGCCGGGGGGTTCGGGGAGATTCGACGCTACGTGGGAGTCATGCTGAAAACGAGCCAGGAGACAGGTTGTTGAACGGAATATCGCCGTCGACGGTACTGGATATACCACTTGTCTGTTGATCTTGTCTCAAGCTGCAAAAAAACAAAAAAAAAAAAAAAATAAAAAAAAAAAGAACAACCCTCTTTCTCTCTCCATTACCGAGAAATGTAAAATTTACACACAAAAGCTTTTAAGAAGCTTTGAGCTGTTTTCGTTCAACTGTCCAAGTAAAAAGTAGGACTCGCGTGGCGTCGCTTCCCACGCGTTCATATTAATTAAATTAATATTTGAATAATTATTTCGAATTTATAAACAAATTGTACACATGAATTTTCCGTTCGGATTGACGCATCCGATTCGATTGTGTCGACAAGTTTCAGACATTCTTGTATGCAACAACAATGTAAACATTTGAAGCAGCTGCGCGAGAACTGTGCGCGTTAATTAACGGAAGAAAGATAATCGCGCCGATTTCTTACAGCAGGAACGCGAACCATTGAGGTTTACGGAACAGTGTCGCGTGAAACATTCGCGAAATAGCAGACTTTTTTTCGCGAATATTATAAGCCGCGTATCCCGCGCTCGTGCTCGGTGGAGCAACGCGATGGCGGGCGGACGGGAAAAAATTTTTGCGGTCCTATTACCCTTTTCGTGGCGCACTAATTAGTACCGCGGCAAGGTAGCGTGGACTTCGTTAGGGAGTTGAAATATATCTATGGTATCCACATTCGTGTTCGCGGCGCATTATATTGTGCCGGCATTTGTAAAAAATGCCACTGAATGTATATTACTGTACCGCGCCCCGCCTCGTATCCATCTTGATGCGCGAGACTTTTAAGCTTGGCAATTACAATTTTATCTTCTTTCCTGTCTACCTAGGCGGCAACTTTTTTTATTGACAACGTGATAATTAGAAGTGGATTGTATAGCGCCGCCTCGTGCGCAGCGATTTTTTGTGGTGCGGGAGGAGGAGTTAGCATTTGTGCGCAGATTTTCTTTTTTTTTTTTTTTTTTTTGGTTTTTCTCGTAGAGACGGCAACCTTTACGCGCGACAAATCCCATGTCCGACCGAGAAAAGTCGGAAGGATGAAGCGGGTCGCGGGCGCTCGAAGTGTATCGGATGAGCAAAGAATTCGGTGAGAGAGGAGCAAGCGTTGACGCGGACGAGGGTTTTCTCATGGAAAAACACGTTCTTACGTATTTCCCGAACGAAGAGAAAGTTTCTTTGTATCTTCAAATTAAGTTAGACCACGTGGAAGACGTATCCTCAAACTTTTTCCCTTCCGCTCGCCTTCTTTTATTTTTTTTTATTTTTTTATCCCCGCTATCTTCGTTTTTTCGAGTCTGCTTTTCACCTGTTCCGATTCAAAGCGCCGTTGCGGATGACTCGGAATTCTTTCGATCGCGTTTCGTGAGGAACTCAATTTGGGAAAAGCGACGCCAATTTTAACGGCATTTTCGCCAATGATAGCGTAAGACAGATCGCGAATTCACAAGTATACAATAATTGTTTACAAAAATATAATAATTTTTATTTCACATCTTGCAATTGTCGTGTGAAAGAATTAGCAAATATTTTGACGTGTGATTTATTTATTTTCACAAAAGATCTTTCTTATCTTTGGGGATTTCGAGCTCGAAGTGTTTGCCGAAGAGAAGAAACATTTTTATTCCGAGCAATTGTAACGGGAGGAAAATACTCCCGGCCGCTCGAGATTTTATCGATTTCGAGATAAAGAAATTGCGCAGTGCAGCTTAAATACGACTGTAGCCTGTAAATATCGAAATTTCGCATTATGTGCGAAAGAGTTGTTGTCGGAACGGGACGAGCACTCGCGCGCGCTCAAAAAGACCGACCGCAACGACCGATTTTTCCCGCAATCTCGGGAAAAGGGGAATAAGGAAGGACTTTTCGGAGGTTTGCGCGAGCCGGTGGAAAAATCCGCGCGAGCAACGTCATTGTCAAAAGCAGTAATAGCGACGGAAGCGGCAATGACCCGTGCAAAACGCGGCGGGAGTGGCGCGGGACTGACTTTTGCACGGCAATCAGAGTAAAGCGCGAACTATTCAAGTTGCGGGCTTTCACCGACGACTTGCACAAGCTTCGGTCTTGCCCTCCCCCTCTCTCCCTTTTTCTTTTCGTCCTTCTCGTCGCGTCCCTCTTGCGTCACGTCCATCTGCCCTTTTTTCCAACCTCTCCATCGCGGATCGCCCCCTTCTTTAGCCATCCCTTCCTCCCCATCGATTCTCACGCCTTCCTTCGTCGACACTTTCCCCTCATTGTCCTGTCCTCTCGCAGTTTCTCTGTTTCTTTCTCAAGCTCTCAACGTATACTGTATACAAAGTGGAAGCACTAAATTGGAAACCGCGGCTTTGTCGGCGCTATTGCGGCTTCTTCTTCTTTCCGCCGTCCCGGTTTCATCCGGTTGCCTTTTTTTCTTTCCCTTACCCTTTCCCTCCACCCTTTCGCCCTTTTTGTTTCTTTCCCGTGTGCAGAGAGCCGTTACTCTTGCACGGATTCGCCTCGTGAAGACCCGCCTTGACGTCGCGAGGACAGGTCACAGTTACAGTTGACATCCAGAGGGTCTAGATTTATTGAAACGCGCTCCCGCGTCTCCGCGAAGGAGACAGTCCCTCCGTCCGTCGTCGGCCACAATTGAATTTACAATCGCGAAGGATTTTTCTCCAGTTCCGCTCCTCAGATCTCTCGTCGAAACGTCCCTTCGTCGTCGATGAAAATCAAAGAGCTCGTACGTTCCGAGGTGGGCGTTTAAGCGCTCGATATAAATTTCGTTTCAATGTAGTATAGAGTCCGAATGTCAATGAGAAGTTAAACGGGAATGGTCAATGTTTGCGATAATAATGCGGTTAAAATATCAAGGTTTATAGGTAAACTTAGCCGGTGCATTATGCGGAAAGTCCCCCGAGTACTTTGGTCTTACCGCAACGTTCCGTTGAAACCTGTAAATGGCTCTACTAAAATGTCCATGAGTAGATGTTGGGGAAGATGTAGATGTTGTTTATGTATGCTTGGAGAATTGTATTTTCGCGCGCGGCGAGTCACCGCGCAAAAGTTTTGCGAAATATTTTTACACGTCACAAAGGAATATCTTTCCATAACGTATCCGTTTTAACCGCATTTTTCATCAATGACAGATCTTTCTATTTTTCTTTCACACTACGATGCTACAAATCTCACTTTTTTTTTTGCGGAAACGATGTGTCTGGAATGTATTTTTTTTTTTTTTTTTTTTATCTGCGAGGAGAAGGTTTAGTTTTTGGCTTTAGAAAAAAGAAAAAAAAAGAAAACAAGCGCCGTCTCTCTCGTCTCGCACATTTGTGATTCGTCATATTTTTCTTTGACGAAACAAAAAAAAAGGATAACATTCTAGAATTATTTAACCCTTCATCAAATCTATATAACTTTTAATTGCGACCGACCCTCTCATTGAACGAGAACGTGATAGGATTACTCTCATCTAACTTACTCATCGGTTTCTACTGCGAACGAGTGTAGATGGCTATCGGGGTGGATGTAATATATGTGGAGGTCGATCCACCTGGAATTAATTAAGACTGTTCCGCAAACGTCGATTACTATCGTTTAGAAATCCTCCGATAAGAGATATCCACGGCGAAATTTATTCGATCGTTTCTTGTTTCTGAATGGCGCGCGCGACACACGAGAACGATTCGACGTTCGGATCTTCTTTCTTCTTCTTTATTATTTCAGAAAAAATTGCAACGTTTGCGCGCGATATTTTTAACGCTGTAAATTACAAAAACAAAAAAAACATTAGTAATATAATAAAATATTAAACAGAATTGTATATATTTTTTTTTATCGAATTGCACACGAGAGTAATGTTTTTGTAATTTTGGAGTTTTTTGACTCTTTTGGCAAATGTGTTATATTTTTATGTTGCCAATTGCGACGTATTTTTTTTTTTGCATCTCAAGCATTTGGCAAATCGATCGGAGGCTGAAGAAGTCGCTGTGCGAGATAAGAAATCTCCAATTCGATTTCGGGATTAGCGGGAGACTGTTTAACTGTTTGGACAGTCAGCAGCGGGAAGTTGCAGGAGTTGAGATTAGGGATAACCGAAACTATCAATAGAGTGGGGCAACCTAGCCACTGGTTTGTTGTCGAGCGGTTGGTAACTTGCTGTTGCGCCATAAGTACTATAGTTAGCGGGCTGCGTTCTGCATATATACGCTGTACGCGAGCGTACAGCTTACTTGTAGAATTGTTTGCGCTGAGTGACGTTACGCCGGAAACTGCTGTAATTATTATTACCTGCTTAATGCGCGCGCGGTCTCGTAATTCACTCGCTGCGCCAATTGCTGTCACAAGTTATCAGTCGTCAACCGAACTCT